TACGATAACGTCATGAATGTCCTTAAATACTTAACTATTAATCACGATTCATACAATAGTTAACACAACGAATTAACGGGAATCAAACAATGAGAACTGAAAGGAGTTACTTAATAAAGTTTAAATTTGAATAAAACAAAATAATTATACTTGTTTTTATAAGTATACTTGACACTCAACTGCGAAATATATCAAGCAAATCTAAAATCATTTTAGTGGAGCTAATGTTTACACAACCAACATTTGAGTTGTTGCTACCATATATTTTAATCAACGTATTTCACTTCAACTCTTTGACGCAGAATTTGTATTAATCATATTATTCATACTTTTTTCGTTATTTTGTATTAATTTGTGTTAAAATATGCGAAAAGTATTATACTTAGCATTTTGAAATGCAGCGGTGTATTTTTCCAAGTTAAAGGTGAAATTTTCTAACCCTGGCTCACTTTCACACGATGAGTTTTCAAATTAATACTTATCAATTATTCAGTTGTAAGAGTAACATTTATTCATCATTGAAAATTTTTTAATTTTCGAAATTAATTATTGTTAAATTTTTGAACATGAATGAATAAAAATTCAAACTACTTTTTTTTGGATCGTATATTTTAGTCCAAGTCATTAGTTATCCTTTTTGGATATTTTAGTCCAAATATAAATCCGATAATCTAACAAATTCGTTTTAGTAACTATTAGATTTTTTTTTATATTTAAGAAATACCAAAATATTTTTTTACTTGTAATTATAGAGTCAGAAAAAAATATACATAAAATGGATAGCGATGCCTAATCTGTGTCAAAAGTTTTAAAAAAAATTTTGACGATAAACATCTAAATAATAATTGTATTTCGTAGGGTAAAGAAAAAAATATCCTATTTACCAGAAAGGATAAGAAAAAGGATAAGAAAAAAACTTCCATCTCATTTAGTTACCAGTTAAAAATAAGTAAATAAATTGATCTAGTAGAAAAAGTAAAGAAGTCAAAGTTAACTAATAAGATTCATATGAAGTTCGTTAAGTGTTTTTCCACGTTTTGTATAATCCTAACGAAGCGAAATTTTTTTCAAGATATACTGGAGAATTACGCAAACTTCTGCATCTTCCAACAAAATAAGCTATTTTACCAGCTGAAAGAAAGAGCTAAAGACGTCAAAAGAAAATATATGGTTGCGTAAGGCTTGTTTAATGAAACGCTTCTGTCTTATAATCAGTGCAATTGAAAGTTTAAGAACATAAATTTAATCGCTTGAAATTACATAAATTGTAAATTTACAGTACAGTGTTATGTGAGCGCTAATTATTTAATTATAACTGAAGGGGAAAAGAATCATAATTTTGTAAATTATTTATTTTACCCTTTAAATCCATTTGTGTCTAGCGTCCTTTTTTTTAAAAAAAAAGGGGGGGCAGTTCCTTATTTCAAATCCAAAAAAAAGTGGTGTGTTTCATTATTAGGATTTATTTTGTTTAAACTAGATAGTTTTGCTTACAATAATATATATTAAGTGAAATGCTTGTATTTTGATCTGAAGTGGTGTCACAATGGTGCATTAAGTCTTAAGTTGTGACCTTTAAGCATTTTAGTGCCTAAAGTCCTTTCATAAGGACAGTTTCTTATTTCAAATCCAAGAAAAATTGGCGTGTTTCATAATTAGGATTTAATTTGCTAAAAAAGAAAACAGTTTTGTCTACCATTATATATAAATAGTATGGATGCTTGCATTTAAATCTGAAGTGGTGTCACAATGGTGCATTAAGACTTAAGTTGTAACCTATAAACACTTCTGTGCCTAAAGTCCTTTTAAAAGGACAGTTTCTTATTTCAAATCCAAACAAAATTGGCGTGTTTCATTATTAGGATTTATTTTGCAAAAACAAGATAATTCTGCCTACCCTAATATATAAATAGTATAAATATTTTTTTTTAAATGGCGGGCACTTGCGATGTATTGTCCCATTGGCCTCTTAATGCCAGAACTGCTACTCTCCTCTCGTTGCCATCAGGTACCAGCCACGGCAGTAGAGCAGCGTCGCCCACGTCGCACAACCACAAACCCGTTTATAAGGCGGGTCACATTCACACAAAGGACATAGAACACAGAGAGAAAGAAACATCCATGCCCCGAGGAGGATTCGAACCCGCAACCATCGGCTCCGCAGTCAGGCACGCTAACCAATTGGCCACCTGGTCGGCATGGTATAAATATTTGTATTTGCATTCTAAAGTGTCGTCACTATGGTGTATTAAATCTTAAGTTGTAGGTAACAGAAAAAATTTCTCTTGGTGCTCTATTTAATCAAACACGAGTTTCACTGAGAGTTAATATCTTATTCTTAATGATTGTTTCTCTTTTATTCCTTTACGTCAGGTAATGTGGACAGTTAGATCAATGATGGCAGTTTTCCTGACGTATGGTCCCCGAAACAGTATTAAAAAAAATATTTACGATTTTTTCCGCATACGTAAAACGAATATTACAATATTAAATGAATCTATAATTATTTTATATTTTTAATCTACATTTTAAATGTAAAGTCATTCGTTGGAAATTTTTTCCGAGCTATACGTTCAGCCTTCTCGAAAAATATAGCTTAGAAAAATACAATTTTGAATTTTTTTCTGGACACACATTTTCAGAAACAACGCAAAGATTTAGAAATATGAGTACTTCGATATTTTTGCACCCCATAAATATATTTGGTGCAGCTTTTTAGGGTATTAAGGCGCCTTTTAAGGAAGAAAAAAAAAACAATTTTTCCGAAACTCTAGAATGGCTTAAACTCTTAATGCTATTTCTTCATTTCTGACATAAAAACCTAACTACTTTTTTTTTTCATTAAGTAACTGTCTTCAGTCTTTTTATTCTTAAACAAGCAACCATTAAGAAAGGTTGTCGAAATCAGGAGAAATTTGTGTATCCAGATTTAAGATAATGTTGGTCAACAGAAAACATTCCAAATAAATTTATATTTTCCTTGAAGCGAGTTACGAAATAACGAAATAAAACGGATATTGAAGGAGCTGAAATTAGCTTTTGGTAAACATTAACTCCTTGATTACTCCTAACTTACCAAATTAAACGAAGTTATAACTTTCTAGCTCAATCTAACGGCTTCCTGTTATCCCTTCTCATTTGAAAATTCCGACAACTTGAGCTGACAGGGATTATATTAAGCCGTCTGGCTTTGATTTTATATCTGAAAAAAAAATCTAAATGTAAGTATCGGGGGAAAAAATTGATTAACTGTTAAATAGAATTTTAATCAGATTTGCTTCAAACAAACTTTTTGGTAGTCTTAAATAAGAAGAAAAACCCTTATAATTGAATATAAATACAGAATTTAAGCAAGATTATATTAGATTATAATATATAAGATAGATAAGATAAGATATAAGATTATATATGAGATGAGATTATATATGATATTAGCGTAGCACTAATTATCCTTTAGTAAAAGATAATTCGCAATTTCAAGAGAAATTCTTCTTCTTTTTTTATGACTTTACTATAATGAGTTCCAAATTCGACTGAAATATTTATCGTGAAAAGAGAGCTTTTTTTTAAAAACTTTTACTATAAGTTTTTGTAATTTGTTACGGGGAAAATTAATAGAAATAAAAAACGTTCAATCTAAAGATTAAATATAAAAAACAATTTTTAAAACTTAGTTTTTTTTAGTAGATTGAAATGGAGACAGAGTAGTCCATTAGTGATTTGAGAATTCTACTTAGAGGATGAGTACGCGGAATTTTCTTAGAAATCGGGAGGTAATTCACGCACTACAATAAAAATTGCATCTGGCTATAAATTCGTTAGAAAACGATTGAAAATAGTATTGTTCTCAGGTAAAAAAAAAAGCACCAGATATGATTTGAGCACTATAATTAGTCAATTAACTGACCACAGAGATTTTGCCCTTTCCAGGGGCCTCTCGAACGCTTTCCCGTACGCATGTTCTGCGTAAGTTCTATTGAATACCAGGGTGGCCACTGAACAAGGAAATTAGGGAAAAGTCGGAGAAATGTCTGGCAATTTAATTAAAATAACCAGAAATTCAGGGGAAAATGAATTAATCTGAGGTACTAAAGTCGAATATTTTTTTGTAAAAAAATTTTCTAGTTATTTTTTAATGTTCGTTTAATTTTCAACTCTAATAGATAGTATAAGTGTTTTGTAATATAGTTTTTGTATAAAAAAGGCATAACTGAAAAATTATTAATGAATTTAATGCCAATGGTTACGAAAATAAGGAACATTCAATTAAATCAGTCTGGAAAAAAAATACGAATTTTTTTTCTGAGTGCTTGTAGCCACCCTGTTTGTTTTGTGGTAGCTCCGCTGTGAAGTGTGAGTGGAATGCTACGTGAATATGCAAAATCTCCCTAAAATTTTTATTTCGCTATAAAATGACATTTATCGTCCATAGCTAATAGGAAAGTTGTCGCAATTTCAATGGTTAGATTCTATCCTCACGGTCACTAAAAAGAGATTTTTTTTAAAAAAAAAAATCGGTAAAATGGTACGATTGGAAAAAAAAGCAGTAGTTTTTCTAACTTATAATGTTGCTAAATATGTCAAATAAAATACTGGTGAGTTAATATTCAAATATATATTAACTCTGATGCTTATAAATGTAAATGGAAAAATATTTTCGTCATTTTCTGCAGAACTTATTTTTTGGAGAGATAGGTCGATGTTATGGAGGTAGTACTGGAACGAGTACATCTAGTTTTCAAAATTAGTGACTGTATTAACTCATTGATAAAATCTACAAAATAAGTTTTTTTTACAGTTTTGGCATAGATATATAATTATTATTAAAATAAATGAAGTTATCATTCGGTGCTTGTATTTATTTTTAATAATTTTACCATATTTAATAACCTTGTTTTAATAACCAATTTTGCAATAAATTTAAGACTGCGTATTTCTAATGATACCAATATAATGTCACATTATAAATTCTGAATTAATTTTTATTTTTTTATTTTTAGAGAAATATGTATGTATAGAAAAGAGTTTTGTCATGATCAAAGAAGTTGAAGTTCGATAATTTTTAATGCTTGAAGTTCAACAATTTGAAAAACTCTTTTGGAAAGAAAGAAACTAGAATTAATGTTGCTCCCACAAGTGATTTGAACTGCTGAGATCAAGCAAGTAAAACTATTATATAATAAACATTGATAACCAGCCTCCTAAATTTTTCATCAATCTCACTATTGTAGAAAGATGCCAAGCACGCGCACCGAATCAATCACAAATGTGGAGCCAGTCATGAACATTCTTAAGGTAGCTGACCACCCAAAAGTCGTAGTAATGGGAGCTGCTGGTGTTGGCAAAACTTCAATTGTGTGTCAGTTTCTTTATGAGAGATTCCCTCTTGATCATATCCCAACAGTGGAAGAGATGCATAAGACTGTTTACGATATCTCTGGCTCTAAGTTGTCTTTGGATCTTTTAGACACAAGTGGCTCCTTCCAGTTCCCAGCTATGAGAGAGCTGGCTATTAAAACCTGTGATGCTTTCGTTTTGGTCTACGCCATCAATGATGCTGAGTCTTTCCAATATGTCTGCTTCTTGAGAGATCTCATTTATGAATTACGTCCAAATGAAACGAAGATTCCAATTGTCATTGTTGGCAACAAGTGTGACCTAGAAGAGTCCAGAGCTGTTTCCAAAGACATTACCGAATCGGTGGTCACAATCGACTGGGAAAATGGCTTTGTGGAAGCATCCGCAAAAGAAAATTTCAATATCGTGGAGATATTCAAAACTGTCCTCATTCAAGCACATGTCTGCTATTCTTTGGTACCATTAATTGAGAGAAGAAAGTCTTTGCCAAACAGCTCTACTTGCCCCCAAGTGAGGCATACTTTGGTTCAAAAGCGCCACAGTTGCACCATCCAGTAATATCTCCTTTTCCTCCCTCATCTATGGCGTAAAGTGATATGTGATAATAAGTATTTGTGATTTTGAATTCTTCACAAACAATTTGTATTTAAACTCATATTTATTGAATAAATGTGCAGGAATGGTGCTCTGAATAATTATATTATATTATATACTTGAATTCACAAAGTCTTCTAATCAGGAAAAAATAAATAAAGACAACTTAATTTTTGTCCCAATTTTTACTATTCAAATGTTTCCTGCTAGAAAGTTTTGCAAGAATTTTTTTTTTTACTCTTAGTTTTTCAAAGCTATGTCATTTTGTGTTCGCAATTAGAATTTAAAGGAAGTTAAATCAAATTTTTTAGAGCTGCCTTTTAACACGATGTTTATAAATATTTTTGCTTTTCAATATGAGAGTGATATATGAGATAATACCATGGTCCTCAATATTTAGTGACAATTCTTCTCTTCCAAGGTCTCATCTATATGCTTTCTGTCTCTTTATCATGTTTATTTTTAAAGAGTATTGAATAGCATTGATATTTATTCTGGTTAATATTGTTTTCTTAATCCAAGTAAAAGATTTGAATGTTTGGAGAAGCTATTCAAGAAACATTTAAGTTTGGATTAAAAACATTTTGAATTCATCCAACTTAACAATGGGAGTGTATTAAAAATATGCTTTCCTAAATTAGTACTGTTATTAACATCTTTTTTTCCCCATCCAGTTAATTTGTTAAGTGAATTACATTTTTAAACGTCTCAAAATGTGAAAAACAAATCAAATGAATTCCATGCCTTACATTCATATGAAGCATAATTTGTAAGCAATTGAAGTAAAATTTCTTTTCAACCTAAAGTATAGGAGTAGGAGAGATAAAGTGATCTATCTTCACCTTATTTCAATTATTATTGCATTAATTACAATTCGCTGTTATCTTAGATTTAAGTTATGAAATAAGTTTAGCATACAAGAAATGCAAAATTTGACAGAAAACAACTTACCTGTTTATTTCTTCATCAGCTTCAAATGGTTGCGCCTTATAAAACTTCTCACCTGTGAATTGTTTTATTTTTCATAACCCTGATATAATGGAGGTAGTTTCACAAATTTATCAATATTTTCCGTTTGGGATTAATATTTTGCAGAGATTTAAGAATTAAAGAGGAATTTTACTTAAACATTTACACACATTTTCTAAATATTATAGTAGTTTTAAGGCAGAAGAAAAGCAGCACTATTGCTCAAAATCTAAAAATCAATAACTAACATTGTCTTTTTATTATAATATTGACAGGTTTGCTATGAAATAAAATACAAACCTTTCTGAAGGAAATATTTTGTTGTTTTTGTAGAGTTTAATAACAATTATTTTTTATCCAGAAAATTATTTTAAGAATTAAATATAAGCTGAAGAAATATGAAAGTAAAGAAAGAATCCTACAAACTGATATTAGTAGTTAAAAGTGAACCCAGCTTCCATTAAATCAGGTATTGTTTGTTAATAATTATTTTTATTTTTCACGCTTTAAACTAACTAAAGAAGACCTAAAAAAAATTTCTCAAAATTCTTCAAATATTTTGAAAGCATAAAAAAAATTACAAATTTTAAGCTTATTTTTTCGTTATGATCACTTTACCACACTATATATTTTTTTTCTAAGTATTGATAAAAATGAGACATACGTAAAAGAAAGGGTATAAAATAAATAAATGCTTCCTAAAACGTTTGTATTGTGTTTTAAAAGACTGCAATAGAAGCAAAATAAGTTTAAATTTTATTTTTGATTATTTCTTTTGGTAAGGATTCAGAAAATAATAATAAAAATAAATGCTATTTTTATGACGAAATTGTTCCACCTGACCTTAAAATTCAGGCAGCTTGGTAGAAGGATCTGAAAGGATGTTGCTCTTTAATATATCTACAGATGACGCAAACAAAAACAAAGATAGGCACGGAATAATAAGTATAAATGAGAATGGAAAACTTTTGTTCAGAGCATTTTATGAAGAATTTTATTTTAGAAAGTTAAAAAACTTGGAAAAAAAGTTTGTTCATAGTGAAGTTGAAGAAACACCTGACACAAGTGTAATTGATTAAAAAAAAGTAGTGCTAAATTAATACCTTCGTATTAAATTTAAATACAATTAAAAATCTCTTTTTTTTCACATTTAAAAAGAAATAACAAAAAATATTATTAGATAATGATATTACTAAACAATTGATAACATATATTAATAGTTTGTCTCATAACTTTTTGTCCAGTACGTATAAAATGTGTGATTAGGTCACAGAATTAGATTTGATAAGTATTTCATTAAAATAATTTGTATAGATATGGCTCACAATATGTAAATGTTTATTAAAAATTTAAGTATTTTTTGATGCATCCAATTAAAATGGACAGAATTGAGCTATTGAAAGATAGAAACTTTCTTACATCATTTCAAATTATTTAACATGAGGTTTAATATTTATATTCTCATATTGATACACAAACACATCTATTGCAGGTATAACTGTGTGGGTAAAAAATGTGGTTATATCTTTTCGTGCATATTTTTTTCATTTACTGGTCACTATATCTTCCGGGATATCAAAGGTTTCATCCTTGACTTTCTATAAAAGCTGAAAGATTTAAAAGCTTCTTTGACTCTTTGCTGTTTATTATTTGCAATAGAGTATGTTCATAAATTTTTAATCTTTCCTTTCATAAATTTATACTATTTGCTATGCAGAATAATTTGTAATTTTATTCAGGGTTTCAGAAGTCGATAATATAGAAACTAAATCGAATACCACAAAGCAGATTTCGTACTAAATACATAGAAAAAGTCATCTTATTTACTCCTTTTTCAAGTGTTTCAATCTCTAACGAAAGTTCAGCCGATATACATTAATGCAACAGTCCAGTTCCAGAATCACTCTGTTCCATCAACCGAATTATTAATTCCAGTAACTAAAGCATTAGCAGAAGGTGTGATTCTTTCACATAGTTCTGATAAATCACATATCAAAGGTAAGAAAACTAGGTCTTTTATATAGACCCACAATATTAAGTCATGTGTATTGACAATAAACTAGTACTAAGGCTGGTACGAACTGGATTAACACAATGATGTATGATGTGAGACCACAGGTTCATACTTAGAACATGGAGGGTTCAAAATAAAACTTCAATTGTTTCTGTATTAAGTGTAAGGTTTGTTTTTTGTTGTATTCTTTTTAGTTTTTTACTGTAGACTTCTGACAATTTAGAAGAAATTAGGAATACCCATACATTGCATTACTCTTTTACAATATTCAAAACCTCAATAAAAATAATTACATTAAGTTTTGCAATATTTAAATATTTTATTCTTAACTATGTTCAATATTTGAATCAAAAAAATTTGTCCACTTAATTTTTTAAGTGCATCTAATTGTCTTGAAAAAGTATTTTGGCATTTAAAATTTGTATTTAAATTTTTTTTCATAAGAAAATTTTGTAAAGTATCTGCAAATCTATAATTGCGTAGTAAATTTATTATTATTTCCTTTTTTTTTAATCCAAAGCATTGACAGCATTGAAAAAATATTATAAGCATAAGTCAATTTCAATACATAGTCTAAAATTTCAGGTAATTAAATTATATTTAGATAAAATTATACAGTTAGTTTCTTGAAAGTACTTATATTTTTTTAAAAATTCAAGATGCATAGTTCATAGTATTTACATTCTCATTATTTTTAAATAAATATTTTTTGTTATTTGTTTGTAACTAATAAAAAGAGTATATTTTAGGGTCACATTTTTAAATATGTACATTATTAAACTAACCTTGTAATTTCTATAAAAATGTGATAAATTTTCCACATTGTACCATTTTTGCAACCAATTATAAATGATAAACACATTTTAAGATAAGTATTTGTAAAAAAAAACAAATCCAGTTTAAAAAAACAGTGTGATAAAATTGTGTAAAAGTGATTTTTTTTTCTTCTTTGACCACTTTTGTAATTATGTAAGACTAACACATTTTATGACAAGTATTTCTAAACAATTTGATAAATTCAAAAAGTAAAATAATTTACTGAAGTTAAGAATAATTGATAATCATTTCCGATAAATATACATTTTTTATATTACTATATAATGAATAATGGTAAATGCTCTATAAAATGATATGACTCATATGAAATTCAATTTTTATGAATGCAGCATAAATTGTAAGCATCTTATACCATTATTTGTGTAATCCTTAGCATATTTATGTTTTAAATAACTCTGTATAGTGATGTTTCATTTGTAAAATGTGATACTTGTACACTTTAATAATGTTTTCATTTAAAAAAATGTAATTTCTCTCAATTAATAAATCTCTTACGTGTAAATTCGCATTTTGTAATTGCTTGATTAATTTTAAAGACACTGTAAAAAACCACCAGAATACACCTGTTCATCAAAAGATGGACTAACGAAATGACAACAAGTTGTTTTACCTAAAATAGCATTCTCTAATCTTCGAACCCAATTTTCTTAATTATTAGCATACGAGGGTTGCTATTTATATTTCTGGCCTAATAATGAAAAAACAAATATGTAGGATCGAAATTGGTTTTATTGTTTTTCAAAATATTCTCCATGATGATCAATACACTTTTGCATGCGTTTGAACCAATTTTCAAAGCACTTTTTCCAGTCCTATTGAGGTAATTCCAAAACATGCGTTTTGAATGCATCAACCGCTTCTTCGGGGGTCGAAAATCGTTGTCCACATAATTTATTTTTGATGTGTGGGAATAAGAAGAAGTCATTGGGTGCCTGGGAAATCAGGGCCATCAGTTCGATCTTTCGCTCCGTCAGAAATGCCTTTGTTTGAGTCGATGTGTGAGAGCTCGCATTGTCATAATGAAGAATGATTCGCCTGTTTTTCTGCTTTTTTCGAATTTCTCCGATGACTTCTGGCAAACAAATGGCTGTGTACCATTCAGAATTGACTGTCCTGCGTTGCTCTAACGCCACTGTTGCCACATGACCGTTAATGCCGAAGAAACAGGCAATAATTTGTTTCGATGTGCTTCTTTCTCGAACAACTTTTTTAGTTTTGCCTCGTCTTGGAAGACCCATACAGTTGATTGCTGTTTTATTTCCGGCTCATATGCATAGATCCATGATTCGTCATCTGTGTAGATGTTATACACAGCCTTTGATGTACCTTGAAAGTATTTTTCCAACATTTCCTTGCACCAATCGACACGAGCCTTTTTTTGAGCGTTTGTCAGATTATGCGGGATCCAACGCGAACAAATTTTTTTTACGCTCAAATGTTCATGCAATATTTTATTGATGCTAGTCATACTAATGTCCAAAGACGCCTCTATCTCACGGTATGTCACATGACGATCTTGCTTTATCAGTTCACGCACAGCATCGATCTTTTCTGGCACAACAACGGATTTTGGACGACCTGCACGGGATTCGTCCTGGATCGAACATCGACCACGATTAAATTCGTTATACCAATTTTTTACAGTGCTGTAGGATGGCGCTTTATCGCTGAATAAAGAATTAAGTTCATCGAAGCACTCTTGTCTTGACAATCCACGTCGAAAGTTATGAAAAATAATGGCACGAAAATGTTCACGATTCAATTCCATTTTTTGAAAGAGAAGAACTTTTCAATTTACTGTCAACAACACAAATGAAGCTATAATGGTAAATCGTCTGCTGAATTTATGTTTAAAAATATCAAACTTTCGATTAAAATCGTCTGCGGTCGCCTAGCAACACTTACTGTTGCCAAGGCTAGAAATATAAATAGCAACCCTCGTACAATTACTTTAATATTTAACTTCGGTTTTATGGTCAAGTAAGTCATTGTGACTAATTAATTTTGTTCTTAGGATCAAGAATAAGGGGTAATAATGAACTATGTATACGTAAAATGCAAGTTAGTAGGTTAAAGAACACAAATATTAAGTTGTCTGTTTATATTATGGTTAAGTGTAACTACAATGTAAATTAATAGTAACTGGGTAATTCATAGCAACTACAATTACTATTTTCTTCTTGAAAATATTTATTTTAAAAATTATATATTAAATTTTGTACAGAAAAAGTGCAGCAGTACAAGGGTAAATAAACCACTACTTCACTGCCTATTAGCCTTTGTCAATCTCCTAGTTCATCATAGGAATTGTTACAGCATTTAACTTAACAAGATCCCTACAAAGAAGTTAATAATTTTTGCAACAGTAACTAATGAGGCAATTACAATGTATTATTGCAGGAATTACTGATGCAGCATTCGTATATGAATGACTTTATAATTTATTGTAAGCAGTAAATGGCAAACATTTGATCATCACAACCCAGTGTTTGTTATCAAGCAGAATAAACATTATATTATATATATATATATATATCATATTGTTGTTGTTGTTCATTTACGTCGCACTAGAGCTGCACAATGGGCTATTGGCGACGGTCTGGGAAACATCTCTGAGGATGATCCGAAGACATTCCATCACAATTTTGATCCTCTGCGGAGGAGATGGCTCCCCCGCTTCGGTAGCCCGACGACCTGCGCGCAAAGTCGAGCACTTTACGGTAGAACAGTTTAACGAGGACCAATACCGCACACCCTCGGCCCCTACGCAGGCTGATCCAAGTGGTCACCCACCCGCACACTGACCGCAGCCAGTGATGCTTGACTTCGGTGATCTGCTGGGAACCGTGTCTTAACGATCAGTCCACTGCGGGACATATATATCATATATATATATACTATATATATATATATACATATATATATCATATATATATACATACATTGTTACATATATATATATATACGTAGATATAAACAGGAAGACAAATAGATTTTATTAAATATCAAGTAGGAGTTAGAGGACCAAACAGCTGAAGTTAAACTTCAAATTTAAAAATTACAAATCATCACGTCTTGGAAAGTTGTAATGCTGCACTTTTTCTGTTAATACAGCTTACATGTCATTTGAAATTTCAATATTAGCTGTTTTTATTAAAGTTCATATTTAATTTCAATAGCAATATAATGAACAAGGAAAATATTTAATTATAATATTCATTTTTTTAATTATCAATGCCCATATTTAAAAATAATCTGTCATAAAGATTATTGCTTGATGGGATACAATGTTTAAGCTAAATTAATGATTAAAGCTCCAACATGCATGATGTACTGTCAAACAAGGATATCCACAGAAATTTTTGCAAAGAGAGATTGCAAATAAAAAAAAAATCATCAAAATATTTCAAAAATCATAATTTTTCTAATTTAAAAAAAAAAAAAAACTTCTATTTGTGTTAATTTTATTGTCTGAATTTTAAAATAATGTGTTTGATTCTACTTAACCAAAGGTTTTTAGTATAAAGTGCAGTTTTTTATATTATTAGTATAAAAAATAAATAAAAAGCATTATACTTTAAACTAAATATAGTACACACAGTAGAAATTTTTTTTACTGTTGTATTAATATTTTAACAAATACAAATTTATAAGTTGTTTACAACATTAAATTTAAAAAGAAATTATCATGAAATAAATTTATAAAAATTATTTTCACAAAAAATGAAATGAATAAAATTTTTTTTTTAAATATTAACATTTCCAACAAAAATAAAGACAGGAACTATATACATTTTTAAACATGCATCTTTCATAGGTTTTTATCTTTCAGAACAGAGTGAATCTTAAATTGTTAGAGTGGTTTAAATTAGTTGGCAAGCAAGGCAGAGGTGTCTCTCCCCTTTTTATTTAAAATTTTTATTACAGGGATTCGTAACTGTGGGCGGCATCCTCTGTGGAGGTATGTGTGTGTTTTTTTCTTGCCAATTTACAATGGGCCTAAAATCTATTCTACAGATTTGGAAAAAAAATTTTTCAAAGAGATTTTCACAAGTGGTTAAAAGCTGTACACTGGGCTCGTGGTCACTCAATGACCTTCGCAATTTCGGACTCGGGTTTCAATCCGAATTTTGCTATTTTTTTTCCAGCCAGGTAAGGGGTTTCACACACCACTCCCCCAATTACATGGTTGCTTTTAATAAAAGGCCTATCTTGTAATAAGGAGATGAAGCTGTTTTGTTGCCTTGACATTTAGCATAGGGTTTTGGAAAAGAAAATGGAGAGTTGTATTTGGAGAAAAACATTCAAATTAAAAAAAAAAAAAAATATTTCTTTGAGGAAAATTTTTATAAAAAATTTCAAAAAAAGTAACATTTTCATTACAAATACTTGTACTTTTTCCTCAAAAAAGTAACAAAGAAACAAGTACTAAAATTAAAAAGCAAAGAAGTAGAAGTAAAAGTATGCACTTTCTAGTTTTAATTTTGTTACAAGTAACAAGGGTAAAGGTATTACCATGTAAGCTCACCAGTCCTTAATATTTTGCCAATAATGGCTAGGAGGCGAAAAAAAAATCTCTCGTTCTGAAATATAAATAAAATACTATCAGAAAAAAATTTTCATTTCAAATAATCATATAAAAATTTGCCACATATTTTTCACTTTATATTTATAAAAAAATATTAGTCAGATTTGATGACCCTTTAAAAAACCATGTCTAAAATATTGAATTACCAAAATATAAAATGATTAAGGATCACACTTTTATATGTATATAAAAGTCTGTAAATAAGTAATATAATTAAATAAGAATTAAGGTAAAAAATAATCACTAACCTAAATATTACTACTGAAATACTATATATTACTATTTTCGAATATAAGCCAATGTGTCTAAACTGAAAAGTATGCATTTTATTTGGAAATTCCCCTAAAACTCAAAACTCTTATATCAGCAGACGTAAAGAAAAAAGGGTATGTTAAGCGTGGGAATAAAAATGTACCCCCTGATAGATTTAGTAACGGTTGAACAGTGGGTAAAAGAAGCATGGACCTCGCAAATTCGTAATTGTTCCATTTTCAATTACCCTTTTATGTATTTTAATGTATATTTCATGATATTTACTGAATATTGCTAATAATTGACAAAAGGAGAACTATTTCTCTTGGCGATGTCCTACTGGAATTTTTCAAAGTGGATCTGATTATAAGCTGTTCCCCAACTTTAACTTTAAAAAAATATTTGGTTTATGTTCGAAAATGTATGGTATATGGAATATTACTTAAAAGTGTCAAACTAGCACAAAAACGAAAATCTTAACTTATTGGAGAAAGGCCAAAAATATCAAAAAAAGAAAATCTTTTAAAGCATGTAAAGAAAGAAAATAAGCAATTTATTGGCATGATAAGCACATATCACACAAAGATAAATCTTCAAAATTAAAGGCAAAAGTAACATGAAATAAGTTATTGCATATTAGAAATCTAAAATACAATTTTATATAGAAAAAATTAAATTTAAGACAATAAAAATGCACATACAATAGCAAGTAAATTGTACAATATAACTAATGTGCGATTAAAGAAAAACCTTTTATAAAAAATAATTAATTTGGCAACAATAATGATTTGTGAATATCACCGGAGTACTGAAGTAAGGTTGAGTGAAAAGGGAAAACTTTTTCTAGCAATAAAATAAAAATTTCAACAGTTAATGTTGAAAGTTATTATTACTTTTGAAAATAGAAAAGTGGTTGTTTTCTAATTTTTCAAAAAAATAAAAAACAATTAAGAATTTAAAGAGATTTCTAGATATTTGACATTAAATTATTCATAAAGTCAGTTAATTTATTATTAATAAAATTATTTTTAATCATATTATTAATTTAATTATTCATCAATATGAGTCAGAAACATACATTTAAGTAATGCATACTCCAAAATAACCTTTGACTTTCAAACAAAGTGAGTTTGAAATAAAAAATATTTCAAGTGCTAACTTTTTAGATCTTCTGATGAAAAAATTTATTTTTCTACGGTGTTAACCGGAAATTTCAATAAAATTTTTCAACGAATAATGGCAAAGAATGATGAACAGCTGAAATCAAGAAAGCATATTACTTCAATGGCTTTGAATTATTACAATTTCAAGAGATTCCAAATAGAAGCATTTTAGAAGGTCAGTTGAAAAGTAAAATCAAAAGGTCATATAAATTGTAGGAAGCAACGATTTTTGCAATTAGTTACACTCCCAGGAATATCCATAGCAAAACTCTTGATTATCCAAGCTGCCCTTAACCTTTTATAATACACGATTTTTCAATAAAAATATTCTTGTATAATAATTTTATTGAGAAAAGTAAAAGAATCAAAGTTAATAAACAAAATTTATACAATAAAATATACCAAAATCTCAGTATATTTCTAAGTTTAATAAAGAAAGAGTGATAGTACTTTTTACAGACTTACAATGTTTGTACAGTAAAGGTTTTCACTACATAATTTACAATAAATATCTACCATATATTTGTTATACATAAGAAAAGGAACAATATTTTTGTTTGTGAACTATAATAAATAATTTCCACTCTTAAAAAACACAAAACATATCAACAAATCTAAATACATTTCAACAACAATAAACAAGTCACAAATAATATCTTAAGTACATTTATAAGAGTCTCAAAAAAACAAAAGAAAAAACTGCAAGTGTAAAACAAAAGGAAATATAAGCTTGAAGTCTATGCAAAGTAAAATAATTTCGTCACTAAAAGTGCATATCAAAGGTGAAATCATAAGGTTCCAGATTTGTCCACACATTAGCTGTTTTGTTAGTTGGTCTAAATCTGAAATAAAAAAAATTTAGAATACTAAATAATAGTGTAAAAATAAATCAGATAATTCTTCGATATAGAGAAAACAAACTGCACAGAAATTCAACATTTTTTACTTACAAAATCATAAACTAATCCAGTTGAACCAAGTTATAGTTTACAAATCCAGCAATAAGTCCACTATAAACGGAGGTTAAGTACATCCATATTCCATGAAATTTTTTTTAGCGTATGACAATAGTATTGTAGAAATTGTGATTGCAATAGTACATAATTTGTTTATGAAATAATAAATAAGGAATTAAAAAATATTTAAAAAAGTTCTTTTTTTTCATTCTAGGGAAGAAATTATTAAACTGTAATTTGATTTCAACTACAGTTCTTGAATTTTATATCAGTAATTAGTAAAGAATCCAGCATTTTCTAGTTTTTATTTTCCAAGAGGAAAAAATGTTAATATTTAATATTAATTTCATTTTTGAGTTAAAGTTGCAGAATCCAGCATTTTCCAGTTTTCATTTTCCGAGGGGAAAAAATTTTAATATTAATTTCATTTCTGAGTTAAGGTTGCAGAATTTTCTTGTTCTTCTTCACCGTGGAAAGGGAAGAAGAGGGATGTGTCACTTAAAAAATTGTTTTATCTAGATTAAAAGTGAAAAGCATACAAGAGTAAATTTTGATACATTGTAAATAAATACCATCATTTACAATCATGTAACTCATCAGCAATAAGTCCACTATAAACGGAGGTTAAGTACATCCATATTCCATGAAATTTTTTTTAGCGTATGACAATAGTATTGTAGAAATTGTGATTGCAATAGTACATAATTTGTTTATGAAATAATAAATAAGGAATTAAAAAATATTTAAAAAAGTTCTTTTTTTTCATTCTAGGGAAGAAATTATTAAACTGTAATTTGATTTCAACTACAGTTCTTGAATTTTATATCAGTAATTAGTAAAGAATCCAGCATTTTCTAGTTTTCATTTTCCGAGGGGAAAATTTTTTTAATATTTAATATTAATTTCATTTTTGAGTTAAAGTTGCAGAATCCAGCATTTTCTAGTTTTCATTTTCGGAGGGGAAAAATTTAAATATTTAATATTAATTTCATTTTTGAGATAAAGTTGCAGAATTTTCTTGTTCTTCTTCACCGTGGAAAGGGAAGAAGAGTGATGTGTCACTTAAAAAATTGTTTTATCTAGTTTAAAAGTGAAAAGCATACAAGAGTAAATTTTGATGCATTGTAAATAAATACCATCATTTACAATCATGTAACTCCTGCAAATTCAAAGTTAGAAAAAAAAAGAAAAAAAAAAAGAATAAATGAAAATATGGAAATGAAATTGTCTGCTATCAATGAACTACCCCAGGAGTTCAGGTTAAGTCATTAAAAAATCAACTGTAATTAAGTTTTTACTATATTCTCGGTTCATTCAGCAGAGTTTGACTGCAATAACAATGGTCACAAAATATAACACTAAGAGAGTCAAAATTAAAATGTTATGAAAAAATTACATTATTTCGAAGAACAACATAGTTAACAAAAGAATGATAAGAATTTTTTTTTCCTCTTAATGCATGCAAACAAATGTTTAGTAGTTAATAACACAAATTTGTTATGTTTCACCTAACATACTTCATTATGTAATCAAACATAAAAAAGTGAAGCAGTCTTATAACTTAAATCTGCTGCAAAAAATAAAAAAAATAAACAAAATCAAAGAATATTACATGATTAATAAATTTTTCTTCAAAATACATTTATTATTTTTTTAAATTAATAAATTGATACTATCCAGTTTACCAATTTGTTAATTTAAAAATGAAATAAATGTATTGTAGAAAAGAAAATATGCTAAACAGTCAAAACAGCTATTTATGTTTAACTCTTTAACTATTATAATACTTGGGCAAATTAGAAAAGAAATATCTATGCCAAGCATCTTCATAAAAAAATTTAAAAAAAAAAGAAAAAAAAAAAAAGGAGGTTACAATCTGAAATGCGTTTGGGATTGAGAGATTGATTTAAATCTCTAAAGTGCACCACAGAAAAAAAATATGAAAGATGACGAATTCAAATTGAATGCAAGAAAATTAAAAATGAATGTAATATAGACAGCATTTAACTAAGCATTTTAACTAAATAATATCATCAGAAATGACAAAAATATTAAATAAAAAATAGATAATTAATTGCAATGTTTTGAAAGTCATAATTGGTTTAGAGAAGAAAAAAAAACTGGATCCTTTAACGGAACCCTAGGATTCCCTGGTACACAATTTGGGAACTGCTGGTAATCACAATTAGGCAATCAAATTGTGTTAGAAACTCAGTCTGATGCAAAATTAAACAAAAAAAGGCAAACTCTCATAATTAATCAAATAAGTAGTATGGTAAAAAGAATGAAATAAGTAATATGGTAAAAAGACTGATAATCTGTTTTGATAAAACTATTACTGAACAAATAAATAAGTTTGCTGATTTGAGAAGGGAAATAAAAAATTGTCTTCAAATTACAAAAAAACATAGCTAAAAATAATTTAAGACAGTTAAAAATCAGATAATAATACTGAGTTCTCTGCTATTCAGACTAATTCCAAAGTTTGAACTGAAAATTCTGCATGTTACATAGCAGTTCTTGAATATTTTAAAATTAAAATGTATTGAAATAGTAATTAAGTCACAATGAAATTAATTATTCTTTCAATACATCTTCAAATTTAAATATTTCAATAGAGATGGAATGTAGAATTTAATGGAACAAGAATTGGAATCGTCTATAATGAGAACCTCTATAAGCAGCATTTCATACTCAACATGGATAAATTAAAGTTTGAAAATATATTTGATGTACGAAAAAAAAAGTAAGAAAGGAAAAACTGTAGGTGTGTCCCTGGATTGTTTATCTCATGTTTACTCCAAAAAAGATAAACTGCAAGAAGTAAAGATACATTAAAAATGATCATTAAAATGTATTTAGTTTTTAAAATGATATTGAAATTACCCAATATTGCTGTCTCACTGAAATTCATCATCCGAGCTGAGTAGGAGAATCTTTTCTCCATATTGGGAGGCAACAGGTACAACTTGAGGATTGTTTGCAATATTACTGGATTGTTTTACGTCTCTTGATTGTTCATCAGTGTGAGCCATTGAAGTATCACCATTCATGCCTGGAAGGGGAGGTGGTGGAGCAGTATATTGGGTGTATTGCTGGTACTGAGGATGAAAGTTGTGAATAGCATCATTCATAATATCTTTTGGGTTCATGGTTTCCTAAAAATACAAGAAAGATGTTTAATTATTCGATAAATAAATTTTTTTTATCAAGTTTAACTTTATGTACTTCTGTGTCTCTTCCTGACAGGCAAATCTTGTAATTGACTCTTTCTTTTTTTTTACTATATAGAGTGCTCAAGTTTTGTGCCTGATGACAATGCAAGTTACAATTAATTCCTGACCACTACAAACAACATTTAAAGCCAATTAAAATCCCTTCCTAACAAGCAAAAGTTTTAAAATTTCAAAGAAAGCTTTGCGCCAGTTCACAATACAAAATTTAAGATAAAAAAATATTTTTTTTCACTAAAATCACTGCAATTATTCTAAAAACAATTTATGGCATTAGCCTTTATTAGTCTAACCTTCATATAGACAATTTTTTCAATCACTGTAAAAATAAGTGAGACATTTTTTGTTTTGTTTTGCTTAATGTTTAGCCTTCTTTCCGACTTTAAACAGGATATCTCTCAGAATATAATACTTATAGAGTATCAAAAGGTTTTATACAGTTAAAAGAAAAAGTTAACTGAACATGTCACAATCCCATTTACAACATGAAATATCAACCCTATACTTGAGGTTAAAAAAGAAAACATAAAGAAAATAAATTTTAATTTCATTTAGATAAATTAGTTTTCAATGCATGAATAAAGAATATTGTTACCTTTAAGCTGCTTGATATACTTTGCATTGTAACAGATCTACCATAAGCATCTGTTTGGAAACCTGTCATATAAATATGGTGGGGAAAGGCACATCTTAGGGCCAGAGAAGCAAAAAACATCTCAATGCAAATAAGGAAATTCTGATAACCTGCTGAAACAGTACCAGCTGTGGTACGGAAACCATGGCTAGAATGTATAGGAGATATGGCACCTCCTCTTTCAAGAATAGCTAAAACAACGCCTAAACAAACAATAAAAAAATATATAAAAACAATATAAACTGCTTAATATGAAGGATAATTAAAAACTAGCAGGAAATATTTAGAGATTTGTTGTTTGAAAATTACAGTATCAATTGTATACTTGTCTTATAGCTTGAGATCATGCAAATGCAAATTTTTACATAATATATAATAGTCTGAATCCTTTTTCATTGTTGTCAGTAAATTTTTATAGGCTGAAAAATCACGTGGTATGATCCACTTTTTTAACATGAAAATCCAATTTGTTTCGTTGTCTTTAGCGTAAAAATTAATAAACGTTATAAAAGGAATATTCACGTTATTTATTTTATTAAACTTTTGATTCTGATTAATAATCCACATTAAAGACTTAAAAATAAAAGCAGGACTTCTGCATTAAAAAATAGTCTAACGATATTACATAAGTAAAGTACAGTAAGACCTCGATTATCCGAGCTAATTGGGACCGCTAGTACCTCGGATATCGGAAATCTCGGTTAATAGAAACCATGTATAAAAACCTTCGGTGCTTGCGAATTTAACAACTTTTAAAGCAAAAAACAATAGAACGCTTTTTAAATGATAAAAATAAACATACATGAACTTATGTTTCACAGCTAAAAAGATTTAAAAAGGAAATCAAGGCTAGTAGTAAATTTTAAAAAGTAAAATTGAATTTTTTTTTAACTATACTTAGTTAAATATCGAAAGATGCATTTTCAAAAATAACACAAATCTCAAGAAAATATTGTATTTTTAAAATTTAATGTACATAAATTTGTTAAATTTACATTCTTTTAAAAAAGTCTGTTACCTTCCGTTGCAAAAGTCCAGAATTTCTATCATGGGCTGCCCTATCGCGCCAATTTTTGAGCAACAGGAGATCCATCGGTGTAGCATCGTTTCTTTGCTCCAAATATTTTAGGGCGGTTGTCAATGCTTGAACACCTTCACTATGACTTATAGTCGTAGAACCCTCAAAGTCCTCGTCTTCATTTTCAGTGTCATTAATGTCCAATGAAGGATTAACGGCTTGTATAATTTCTTCGTCATTGAGAATTTCAAAATTTGGATGCTGATTTTCAACATCCAGCCACTCGCAAATGTCCTCTTCCAAGACTTCTTCACAACCTTCAATTCCATTGATGGTATCAAGAAGTTCCGCGTCTGTCGGTGTGTTTTCCGTCTGCTGGGATTCACACTGTCTCCTCTTTTCAACAATTATTTTGTTGAATGATTTTCGAATTGTTGCTGGATTCACTAATTGCCATGCCTGGGCAACCATATAGATCACGTCTTTCACATTTATTCTTTTCAGCGCCTCATTTATGTTTTCTTCGCATTCAAGAATATGAGTGATGAGTTTCTTTTTGTAATGTCTCTTCGTTGTTTCAATTACCCCTTGATCCATTGGCTGTATTAGCGAAGTCACGTTTGGGGGAAGAAAAATCACACGTATTTCTCCTGAAATGAGCATTTCTTCTTCCGGATGACAAGGAGCATTGTCTATCAGCAAGACTGCTTTAGGTGAGAGATTTAGCTGCGCCAAATGTTCCTTTACATGCGGTACAAAGTCATGATAGAACCACTTTTCAAAAATTTCAGAATTCATCCAAGCAGACCTCTGATTTGTGTATTTCGCAGGCAAAGAATTCACATTAATATTTTTAAATGGTCGGGGCTTCTTTGATTTACCGATGAGAAGCAGGGGTAATTTATCAGTTCCACTTGCATTTGCACAAATTAGAAGGGATACTCGATCTTTGCTCTTCTTGTAACCCGGGGCACTGGCTTCTTCTTTAGATGCCAAAGTTTTCGATGGCATCATTCTGTAAAACAAGCCAGTTTCATCGGCGTTATAAATTTGATCTAATGTCAAATTTTCTTTTTCAATCATTTCTTCAAATCTCTCAACAAAGTCTTTAGCAGATTCTATGTTGGCAGACAACTTTTCACCTGCAATCGCCAGTTGTCGAATTCCATGTCTCTTTTTAAATTTATCTAACCAACCTTGACTTGCAGAAAAACTTTCATTTTCGTTTAATTTTTGGCTGAGAAGAAGGGCTTTCTCTTTTAGAATGTTCCCGGAAATAGGAATGCCCTGCGCGCGTTGTTGCTTGAACCAAAGATAGACTGCTTCATCAAGTTTTTCAGTTTTTGCTTTCTTTAATGTCGATCGTCCTTCTAAGGCTTTTGAGGAATCCATCTTTGAACAAAAAGCCTCTATTTGAGCTTTGTTACGTCTCCAATCGCCTACAGTGGTTTCACCAACTCCAAATTCCAAAGCAATTTTTTTCAAATTCTCACCATTATTAATTCTTTTAATAGCCTCAAGCTTTTTACTCATCGAAACAACAACTCTCTTTCTTTTTTGATTTGGCATTTTAAATATGAACAACTTACTAGTGCGATGGTCAAATGTGAAATGATTTAAGCAAAGGTTTACTACGAAATAGGGAATTCGTTAAAGAAAAGGGAAACAAAAGAATGTTATCGGAGGGGATTGGCGACTCTTACAATGCCTATTGTGAGAGTCGCCAATCCCCTCCCCCAACAAGAAGCGTCCGATAACATATTGCACCTGGTATTCAATAGAGTCACATGACCACTGTTAACAAAGCATTCATGGATGTTGTCTTCTCAGGGTGTAATATTTCTTGGAAGTTGAGTGCTTTTGAGGGGAAGAAGTGATACGGGTGTGCTGAGGGGTAGAAGTGAAAAGATAACACGGACAACGAACTAAAATGTGTATAATTTTTTCCAAGCTCATTGTGGAAAAGAGAGAAAAAAAAGGTTTGGAAAAAAAAAAAAAAAAAAACTTGCCTCGGTTAACAGAAACCTCGGTTGATCGAAGCTCGGTTAATCGAGGTTCTACTGTATATATAATCATAACATTAACATATTTCAAAGAGTATATTTATTGACTGTTTTACAATTTACAGTAAGTAAGCTATGTTTGCCTTAGTTATAAGATTTGTGTAAAATTGTATCAAAATAACGAATACAAAATTGTAAAATATTACAAGATATTTTTTGTTATTGCACTATTACTAAATAAAAGAAAAATTTTGCAGAGTATACTTTGTGGTGTAAATGAAAACAATAACAGGAGAAGGAGATTTAACTTTGAACTGTACAAGTTTTATAAGCAACTTGATATTATTAAATACATAAAAATAAATAGAATGAATTGGATCGTCTACCATGATTTAAATGAGTGATGACAATACAATAAAAAAGATACAGCTTTGTAGACCCACCGGAACAAGAAAGTGGGGAAGGCTGCGGTTGAGATGGGGTGACTCAGTGGAGTCCAATTTTCTTGCAATTAATGAAAAGAATTAGAGATCAAAGATAAATCAGAAGTCGTCGTGGAGAATTGGCTCACATTGGGCTGTATGGCCAACTATGATGATGATTTGATTACTAAATAATCTCATCAGTAAAAAAACATTTCACAATTATTTTAAGTAAGGAAAAATTAAATAGGCACTTAAAAAACAAATGCAGTAGCAATGGTAAACAGGTAAAATTAATGTTTTATACTTTATTCCACAGGAATTGTATAGAACTATAAAGCTTTTTGGGATCTCTAAAAAATAAAAAATTGAGTGTTGGTGTGGGAAATTATAATAAAGGGATCAAGCAACCTAGCATAACCATAAAATTTGATTTTAATTGCAAAACTTTTTACAGTTAAAATAATTAGAGACCATCATAAAATAAAAATAGTTCTTTTAAATTTCATAAACCTTTTTTTCCCAGTACCTAAAATTATAAATAATTTGGTTCATTAATCTCCCTCTAAAATAAGTCATTTTATTTTTCGGATTACCCTGTATGCATTTATTTATGAATATGAAGAAAGGAATAAAAAATAATAAAAAAAACCATTCGAGTCATCATTTAAAAAAGTAATCAGATATTCATGAGTTCATTATAATAAATGCTAAAATATACTAATATTTTGCAAGAAATGTATAATTAAATAGGCTTAAATTCTGAATGAATAAAATCTTTAGATGTACTTATAGTGTAAGAACAAACAAATGTTGTATCATTAGAACAATATATTTACTGTTAAATAACGGAGCAAAGTGACTTAAATTACATTCTGCGTTTACATAAAACATAAGTACAGTGCAGAACCATTTTGCTATCTAGGAAAATGGTTTTGCAGCCCATTTTGTTATTTAGAGCGTATGGCATATCGAGTTGACGCAAGAACTGATTTAGAGGACGGATCAAAAGTCGTTTGTAGACGAATCTCACATAAGCACAAATAGCTTATATATGTTATTAATGTTAATAATAACATTAATAACATATATAAGCCTGTATATAATTTTTATTTCATAATTTCTTTCCTTATTTAAACTTAAGTGTATTATTATTTATCATTTTTTATTACTTCTAAAACTATTTAAAAGTTTTTTCTTTAGTTTCGTTTTATAAACATTAAAAAAACGGCATTTTGTAGCGATTCAGAAAACCGGAAAAATCAGTTATCCGGAATCGCGATGGTCCCGATCGTTCCGGATAATTGGTTCTCCACTGTACTACATATTCACTGCATAGCTGCCAACCCCTAGCTATAAATATGCAGAAGATCTAAAAAAAAAAAGCAGAAGAAATGCCTAAACATGCAGAAGCTTTCCAATGTTTGCAAATAAATTTATTAAAAAAAAAGTCAATTTCAATTATTTATTATTTCATAAATACACTATAATGTAATATGCATTAAAACACAGTAGAAGGTCGTTACAAGAGGTGCAGCAAAGCCTGAATTAAAGAAAATACGAGCTATTGGGCGTTCGGGTGAAAATTCGGATAAATTTTACCTTCTCCACGTAAAAAATTGCTAAAATAAATATAAAAACAGAAGGTTTGGCAGCTAATATGGCACTGTAAATAAATAAATTTTAAAAATTTCAAAGTTAGCCTCATAAATTAGTTTTGTTGAAGTGTTTATTTCATTTTAAAACTCAAATTCATATGGATTCTATTTCAGCAGTGAAAAAATGTTAAAGCAAAAGCAATCTACACCACCCAACTATAGTGAGTTTTAGTATAGAGCCAAGTTTTTTAGAGTTGTATCTTTCAACAGCCAAGGTAAAAACACAACACAAACTTAAATCCCAGTCAGATGAGAAGGACAGCACCTAAACTGGTAACCCTCTTTGTTAACTTCTACACCAATAAGAAAACTTTCACTGCTGGCAGATTTAACATGTACTTTGAACATATATGCATCATATGTTTGGTCAACCGTTAGCAGGGAAGGCTGGTTGAAAACAAGCCAGCTTTCTTTAAAAAAAAAATTATGTTATTCAATTTTCTATTGTTTACATAAATGCCTTCAGTTTTAATTTGTATTGATTCAATAACAAGAAATGTATATTTCAATACTATTAATTGATATTACTGTTCTAGAGTGTATGCTGCTAAATAATGACATTAATCTAAATAATATTAAATTATGATATTTTTATATATACTGGCAATTAAAGGAGGTAAATTTACTTTCACAGATATGCACTACTACAAAAATGTTTAGAGATTAAATGCTTATTAGCTTGTTACGTGAACTTGTAAAGTAATGGGTATATTCAGACTCTTTAGTTTTTATACTTTATCATGTTCACATATTTATGAATAAAAGTGACGTTTTTCAGTATTCTTTATCAAAATATTAATCAATCGTTAAAAAGATCTCTGTAAAAAGCTTTTTGGTGGTTAAATTACTTTTAATTTGAGGCTTAAGAGAATGCTATTTAATTTTTGTTTTAAATAAACCAAAAAACTCAGGTTTAAACACAAAAAAAAAACAAAACAAAAAAACAGATTTTTTTTTTCTAAAGAAATAACCCTGTTTTTTTCCCAACCTGACTGTTAGGATCGAATCTCATGGATCGACTCTCATCTTAACAGAAATTAAACAGCAAAACCTTTGTAAAAGCATCATTACACAATATTAAAATAGATAAACAGCAAGAGAAATTTGAAATCTCCTTTCACTTTGTTTGTAGCGATGCTTATAATGCAAAACTGTGCATGCAATTGTATACCTAAGATTTACTTAAAACTGTTCCTTATAAAACAATGAAAACCTAAAAAAAAAAGTTGACTTCAGATGCTTGCTAGTATTAATAAATTTATTCAATTTTGTTTGATTTTTTTCCAAATTGAATAACAATAAAAAAACATACTCAATAATTCTAAAGTATTATATGGAAATAGATAAATTTGCAAATGCAATGACATCCTGTCAACAAAAAGTGGATCATCAAAGTTAGTCATCAACATAAAACCATTCTAAGCCAGAAATGATTTACTCACTTAGAAATTTGCTTTTAAAAGAAAATACATAACTTATTCACTATTAGGTGAAAGGTTCCAAAAACATTCATAAATTACTACAATGCTTTAAAAATAGTTATACAAAAATATTATGGCCATAAATTTATTTAGTAATAATTTACAAAGCAATTGAAAATACAACAGTAATAAATTAAAAACCTACCTTGCCAGAATGAAAGAAATATAACAGATTTAATTGTGCAAAATTTCCAAATTGGTTCATATGGAGTTAAAAGTTCTTTGGTGGCATAATAGAACAATACTAGTCCATAAAGTGCAAGTGTAATGCTAATATTGTAGATAATTGTAATGTAAAGGTAGCCACTATCAGGCCTAAAAGAATAAATACAAATCGTGTTAGGATATTAAATACAAAACTTTTGAAAAAGTCATAACAATATTTCAATACCCTTTGTTTTTTCATAAATATATAAATTAAATTTTAAAAATGAATCTTAAATTCATCGGAATACATGGTTTCAAACATATTCTGTTCATACATTTTTCTCGTAATTGGTAAGTGTGAATATTTAAATGCAACCAAAAATTATATTGCTTTTAAACATTCCAAAAATAAATTTATTAAAAACCTGTAAGGAGTGATGTTTTAACGAATTCAGAAAAATTCACTTTAAAATTGATGGAAGCATTAGAAGCTGATACAAACATTTAAAACTAAGGATATGATCATGATGCCATTATGGTACTTATTTTAATCAAAATTCTACTAAGGATTTCTTGAATGGTAATTTCTCTTCACGATGAAAACATACAGCACAACAATATCAAACAGCATAGTATCAAAGTAAATCCATAACATATTCTTATACTTGGATATCTCAATTTTTTGTTTAAATATCACACAATATATATTTTAAAATTTGTCACATAAATGCTAATTATAAAATATATAACTAGATAAGATATGACACACTATTTGTCTAAGAAAAGCATTACCATGACGCAAAAGCAAAAATTAAAGACCTTAATTACTATATTTGAATGCTTTATGTAAGTTTAAACACTGTTTAGAAATTTTATTTAAATAATTACAATTAATTAATCAGCATACAATTTATTTAAATATGTCATGCATTGTTTGAAAAATAAAAGACCATAGACATTTTATTTTCATTTGATTTCTATCAAATATAGAATGCCCACCAAGAAGATCAGAAAATTTGTAAATAGGCTCAAAAGATATAGTATAATGTTAGATTAAATTCAGAAATTTTATTCCTGATAAAACTAATATTAATTTAAGCATAATGTTTTTAAAGATAGACACAAATTTTTAATAAATTATATTCCAAAGACTGCATAAATGCACTAAGATCAAAATAAATTTATGAAAATAAAAGTTAAAAACTTTTCTAAACTTATAATTTTGAAATTTAATATTGATTTTAACTAGTTAAATTTTTATGGTTTGGTTTGTACCACCATTTTTTAAAAATTACTTTTAGTAAAGACTAGTTTCATCAAGACATGAGTAAAAAGCACAAGAAACATCTTGTCAATAACTTCTACAAAACACAAAAAGTAAATAAACAACTCATAAGAAATTCTATAAAATACATCTTATAACAAAAAAAAAAAAAAAATATTTCTCACAACTTTGGTAGAACCAATTTAAGAGTATCAACAAGTTCAGAATTTAATACAGACACCCCATTTTACAAGGATTGTACACTCAGAAAGAAAGACACTCAGGCACTGACTTTTAATTATTGTCAGAGATGTTACCAGAGCAGGAAACTTTCATACATTAAGTATTGAGATTTTGTATACCTAAGAATCGTTCAAGGAATATAATGATCAAGTATTCATTTGTCAAAGTTGTTTATGCTTTCTTGTTATTTCCTAATCTATTACAAAATTTGGAATATTATGATCATTTATTCATTTGTCTAAGTTGTTTATTCTTTTTTGTTATTTCCTAATCAATTACAAAATTTTAGAAATTATTCGAATTTTCTAAAAAAAATCTTCTTAAACTTAAAATTTCTATTAACACGAATTACAATAGGTTAATTTGTTAACACAATTTTTAATTTTATGAAATTAGTAGCAATGGTGAGGTTTACTAACTCTAAGCTTTGTTAACACTAAAATCTTTTGCAACATACTCCAAGAATACATTTCAAGAATTATATAGATAAACATTATAGAAATATAGATGAATGATGGCATCTTAAAAAATAGACTTGGACATTTTTCTTTTTTGGAGTAATTGTGTGTTTTATAAGAAAATTCCACCAAATTATTATTTTCCAATACAATATGGATTTAAACTTAGCAGATTAAATAAGTTGAACATAAGTAAAAAAAAGTATCTAATCACTTAAAAAAAAATATAGTTTTGCTTTTCCCTCCCTATAATCAAGTGAGATAAAATTTTCATTAATTCATACAATATAAAACTCACCAAAAAATATGTACCAATGCTGAAAATTTTTTGATGGATCAATTTCCAGGAGTATAAAATTTAGAATAAAATAGATGAAAGTGGAGCTTCAGATTTTTTTATTCAATACTTGCATGCAAGACATACTCCATGAAAGATATATTTCAAAAATAAAATTGAGGAATTTCTGGACATAACTTACCTAAAATCTCCATCAGAATATTTGCCAAATGATTGTAATATAAGTGTGATAACAGACATCAGAGGTTTCACAGCACAGAACTGTAAAGTTGCCTAAAACAAGTTAAAACTTATTAGTATTAAAATAATTCAGAAATTAATAATATAAAAGCATAAAAAATAACCGAAAAAAATCACATTTTTCTTATAAAAAATAATTACATACTTTCCATGAAGTTGTTTCAATAGAAAAAAAATGATAAAATGTGAATCAGATACATGTGATTTTAATCACCAAAGGAATCGTAGACTATGACTTTTTGTTATTTTTTTTTTCAAATATCGTATTGAAACCTTTTGTCACATAAGATTAAGAGAAAATACAGTAAAATAGCTAGAATTTTTAAATTTATACAATTTGATCGACTACTTTTTAAAATTATCTGTTCAAACTTATTTACTCATTTTCAATAAAAAAAATTCTTTCAACACAGGTCATACAGTAAATATAGTGCTAACAATATAGTTGTATTTACAATAATATATAGTGGTAACAATATAGCTGAATTTACAACAAAATTACCTCAACTTATTACTTGTATCTATATTTCAGCATGTTTAATTATGAACATTCAGTTACCAGTAAATTTAATTCATACTTAATTTCCTATATAAATCCTATTCAATGAACATGACTTTTATAGTTAAAAAATACTAACATAAAGAGCTGTTACAAATAAATGTTAAAGAAAACAAGATGAGCTGCTAGTATTTATTCTCATTTATTTTTTCTACTTTATTTTTCATAAAGAGCATTAATAAGTTATTTTGGAAACAATGCAAAGGCATTTGGGAAAAAATTTAAATTAAGAAAAAAGGTTATGTATTGTTTATTTTTATTTGTATTTTATTGTTTATTCCTCAAAAAAATAAATAAAACATAAAATAAAGCCTTTTTGAGCACAAGATGAGTCGTAAAAAATAAGAAAAAAGTCTTACAGTTTGTAATGCATAAGCAAGAAAAAAAAATCTTACTTGTTTGCAGAATCTTAAAATTCCAATAGTGTAAGTTTTACCACTTAAGCAGCAAGTTCCATACAAAAAACTTGATCTAGATAAGCAATTAAACAATTAATATAACATAATGAATAAAAAATTTACTAACAAAGTTTAGCGCAGTTACAAAATACAAGAAGTCACTATCTTATTAAAATCAAATTGAAATACAAAACTAAAAAAAAAACCCAACAATAAGCTATAAATTATAAAAATTGCATTATTATTATTATTTTTGCAGCTATGACTTTAGACTGCAACAGAGAAGACGAATTGCTAAACAAAGGAATAAACTTTTTATACTAAAAGTAATACAAAACTAAAAATTCTTACTCTTTATAAAAGACAAAGAAACTTAAATCTGATGAAACAAAAAATATCAAGACACATAGCTCCATAGAAAATTAAGCAACATGATTTAGATGGATTGTTTAAAAGAGTGTAAATCGCCTTTCTGTTTTCAAACTAAATTATAAGTACCATTCTAATGACCGAATAAACATCTGGTTTGATTGTATTTGTAATGAAACTCAAAATAAACAACTTAGTTAATTTCTAAAATACCAACTATAAATTAACACTATGCAATTAATTTAAATTGAAAATATTATCCAGGTTAATGATAAGAGTCTATTTTTGGTTGATCAATATATCATAGTGAATTTTTCTTCTTTTTTTCTAGAGCTCATCTATCCTAAGCTCAGTATTATTCTATTTGTTGCTCAGACAGTTTACGATACAGATTTTCTATTTGGATTAAATTTAATGAATATATTAAGCTACTTAAAATGATTTAAAAACTTTGAAGCAAGCAAAATTATTAAGCTTCTGTTATTTACTTTACCAATAATTTAACTATAATTATTTGTAGTAAGTAAATAAATTTAGCACTGATAACATTTGAAAATTTGAATACAAATATTTATGCAGGCAAAAATAGTATAGGATCATTACTATATTACTTACTTGATGGGTTTTCCTCGAATTTCAGCCATTATATTACTTTCCCCACCAAGGTATTCATAACACAAGCTCAAGAAGTTATAAATCACAAATGCTGCAGGAAAAGAAAGCAAAGTTAGTATGAAATGAATAATGCCAAGAAACTGAAGCAGAAAGATAGACTTGAGTGGAAAAACTCTAATAGCATCAAAAATTAAGGTGCAAAAAGTTTACACATTTTTAGTACACAACGTAGACATCTACCAAAATAAACCACCATGTGAATGATAAAAAACTAAATATACATAAAAAAAGAAATGCAGTGTAGTGAGCAGTAAAATGAAAAACTAATATTGGTAGAAAACAAAACTAGAAAAACTGTGCCTGATGAAGTAAACATGGTGACCGAGAAATACAAAGCAGACCAGGGGATACATTTCCAGGAGGAATAGAAGGCCGGTGGGAAATTAATGTCATTAATAAGGAAATCAGAATTCATATGTATGATGAAAAAGTGCTATGCTAATCAATTGATTAAATTATAATTACACTTTGATGCCATATTAAATGAATACAATTTATTTCTAATTAAATGAAACATATTATACTTAAATCTGAAGTTTGGTCACATAAAAAAAATGCCTATACAATATAACAGCTATTTGTACAATTAGATATTAATATGATTATAAAAATAGCAGATATTACATATGATTTGAAATAACACAATTTGAATGAAAAAAAAAAGGTTCCAGAGCATAAAGATGAGCTGGTGTGACATAGGTGGAAAGGATCTTGGTTTTAGTACAGATAAATTGATGCCCATAAGGTTCTTATATTTTTTATTCAATAGTAAATTAATATTAAATCAAGTTGTAATATAAAGAATAAATTTCTACTTTATACTACAAAAAAAACTTAATTATTAAATCAACATTCAATTGGAATTATTCTTATAATAAATCTACAAGGGAAGATTTTCCTGACATTTTAGTAGTTAAGAAAATTTTACTAATCAAAACTGTATAAAGTCATTTGGAATGAAGATGATCAAAGCGTTTAAATATTGCACTATTGAGGCAAAATTTTGCTAAATGAGAGAAGAAAATTTAAGGTTTGTTTAATTTTTAATAACAGCAGAGTGATAATTTTTCTCTCTCTGAGTTTATTAAAATCTCTTTCAAAAATTAACAAAATACATTTATTTAAAATGTATATTCGAACAAAAACCAAGCTTCTCATCTTCTAGATAAAAACGTGAGCAAAAAAAATTGCACTACTATTAAAAACTTCGTTTAAAAATTTACAAGTATGATAACAGTTTTAACTTATAAATAACTTAAAAGTCTTTGACGTGGAAATTGATGTTAAATTCCCCCCCCCCAGATATTAATTTAAAAAAAACTGTATTTTTAAAATAATTAATGAATAAATAAGATTCACCCATAATGAGGTTTTTAAATTTAAAAAAAAAAAAAAGTAAAAAGAAGAATTATAAAACAATAAAAATTTTACTCATGCAATTAATATGAGAGAAAACGGCTATGTTATGGAACATACCTTCATACCAATTCCGTATACTATCAAAGTACACATAGTACATGTCATAGAAAAAGAGCAATGACAGCCAAGCATCAAAAGCATAAATAGGCACTATGAAAAGTATTCGCACAATCCATCGTTGTTGTGCAGGACTTGTATAATAACACAAATGTAAGTAGATCTAAAATTAGATTTAAAAAAAAAAATAACAGATTATTTTTTGGAACTATTAACAAGCATAATAAAATATAAAAAACAGAAATATTCGGAATTTTTACCATTAATTATCAACCATTAAGATAAATGAAATTTCATAAACCAAGTTACTGATAAAAGCTGAATAACTCAAATTATGGAAGTAAAATTTAAAACTTATTTTTAAGGACAGTCTAAGCCAAATCAACAGTTTTATTTCAACTTCAACAGTTTTAATAAAACTCTAACTTGGAAATCAGTTGAAAATTGTACTTAAAAAAGCATGTGGAACTTGAGAGGATAATTTTCAATTTCAAGATTGATTTACAGATATTCTCATCCTTATAATAGCAAATACCAATCTGAAATTACATTTGGGTTAGAATCTCTCATACCAATACAATAAAAGTAATCCAGCTTAAAAACAATATTCTAATTGATAACACAGAATTTAAAGTATATTAAGCCACAACTAATGTATAAAAAAAAGCAGTAACTTTTCTTAAACAATGACATTGTTGAAAACCAAACATTGTTGCTTAAAAATAAAATAAAATTAAAAAAAACATGTACATGTGAGCATAGAAATAAAATAAAATTTGCAATAACCTGATGGCATGTAATTAGAAGTGCAGCCCAAACAAAAGCACCAGATATAATCTGAGCAGTCAAAGTTTGTAAAAATACAGGATTCATTTCTTTTTCATTCATATCTGATCCATTTAAAGAAGGTTGTGCAATATCTGTAATGACAGAACTAGGCGGAACCGACATAAAATGCCTCATTGGCTGAAGAACATCACTTGAAGAATTCATCCTAAAATAATAATAATAACTAAACATAAGCAAACTTTTATAAAATTACGAGAGTAATTTTTTGTTATGATACTAAATTATGTTGAAAACATTTTAAAGTCACAATTGATAATTTGCTTTTAATTAAACCTTTATAATAAAAAATGTAATAATAAGAACAAATAATAAAATATATATATATATATAAAACCAAATAATTAAAAAACTTTCATCAGTGACTGTTAAACATTTTTAATGAAATTTAAACACTTTTTAATAAACATCACATCAAAAAAATATACATATTTTTAAAAAAAGGAGATAATTCTGGCTTTTTAAAGAAAAAATAAACTAAATATTGAGCCTTTATTCCAAATGTTAATGTGGGTAATATTAGTACAGTACGGAACCCGTTATCCGGAAATCAGAAAACCTGAAAAACCGGAATGAAATTCTATAAATTTTAACGCCATTTTTTAAAAAAAAAAATTTTTTTTTTTCCTCATAAGATTTTAGGATTTTTCTTTATTTTTTGAAAGATGTTTACCTTACCATCACTTTGGAAATAATCATTAGTGTATTACTTCATCGTTTTTTCTTCTTTTTAAGATTATTTCCAAATTTTTTTTATTTTTTTTTAGTTGGGTTTAACAAAAAAACGGCTTTTTTGTAGTGATTAGAAAACCGGAAAAATCAGTTATCTGGAATAGCGATGGTCCCGATCGGTCCGGATAATCGGTTCCCTACTGTATAATTATTTAGAATATTTGGCATAATAATAAAATAAAGGATTCATAATAATGTGGATTCTGTTTAGAGAATTAATCTTTACTTCTAAGTAGAGATTTTGAGAGTGTAATTAAATAAATAACTGATAATAAAAAAAAACAAAGGACCCTAAAATATTTCAATTAATTTAATTTCATCATAATTACCAACTGGAAAATTAAACTGCTTATGATATGTTATGCAATTATACACATTTCCAGATGTGGCATTTCTGCCTTGGGAAAAATTGTGTTTTTTTCATTGTTTTTACTATCTTTAAAGCAAGTAAGTTTATGCTAGTTCTTCTTAAAAACCAGTGTTTAACTTCATATTTCCTTCGGTTCCCTGCGTCAATCTTAAAATTTAAGTTTTAAAACACAGTAAAATTCATATTATATACAATAAATGCTAAGAACTGTGGCATGAAGTAAACTATTATTTTAACACAACAATATTCACATATTGAATGCATTTGATAATTATAAATTCACAAAAAATTATGCTATATTCCAAAAGAAAATTCTTGGTTAAATTAAAGAAAAAAAACTGTCTATCTTTGATACTTAGTTATGTTTAAAGAAATATTAAAAAATACATAGATGTATTAAACTTTATGAACGGAAAAATATAATATAAGAATAGGTTCTTGTACAGTTAGAATAAAATTAACACAAGGATTTTTGCATAAAATATTCAATTTAATGTGATATTCAGATACTGTCTAATTCAAATAGGCATTATTTAACAGTTTTAAATAATACAATGCTAATTCAATAAAATTAAATAGAAAATGAAATATTCGAACACTTCACATTTCCCTTTGGTTCTTACATGCGATGGTTGTTTAATCTTTGGCAAGCTATTTTTATAAACATATGGATAACTTAAATAGAATGAGGTAGAAAATGCGACTTTTAATAGTGAAGTAAAACACAGAATTTTTATATTAACTGGAGAGTTAGTCACCACTTTCAGTTCAGCAGCTTGCATCATTCTAGAAAAAAAGGGAGTGTATTTTAAAATACTTTAAAATAAAATATAGAGTTTTAAGTAAACTTACTTTATATATATAAATATATCTATAGTATTAAGGTCATAGGCTCATCTTTATGGGAAATTTTTCTTCTATATCATTAATGAAGCTGACAGTTCAGTCACAAAAATTGGATGATGTAGGAGGACATTCATAACTGATAGCATATAGAATCAAAACAATTTGTGATTAAAAGATATTCAAAAAAGGTTTATTTAATGCAAAATTACAATAATTAGGACACGACTTTAGTTTAAATTAATAATAAAACGATTCTTAATCATAAACTGGTTTGTTTACCATCAAGAGGAGGGATCATGAAAGGAAAAAGTGACAGTGTGGAACGAAAAAAATACATATTTTATTTTTGCAATTGAAAAATAAAGTTCACATATGTAAGACATATTTATATATATATAAGAAATAAGAATAGAGACTTAAATTCTTAACCAAAACTTTAATAAACAATTTAATTTACAGAAATTCTAGTTACAAGGCCGCAAAGCTAACCGAATAACTAGCTTCAAAGCTTATTAACTGTAACCATTTTAATCTTCAATTCTAACTAAAACAAAACATAACAAATTAAATTTTTGAGTTCAGCGCCGGTGATAAATTAATACTAAAAATCATTTTACTTTCAAGTATGTTATTTTTTATTTATTCATTATTATCTATAAACGAATTGCTTTTCATAATTTTGTATGTGTTACAAACATAATATCTATTCCTGATCTTGAATATTCATGTGAAATGTAGCATACGTTTTAAGAAAAAGTACTAGTATTTGGTTAATAATTAAACAAAATACACATGATAACTAGAGATTTTATTATTCAGAGTCCAGTATTATTTTTTCTGTAGTTGTTCATCGTCTTTTCCCCCCATCCAGTTTTGACTTAATATAAATTGAGGCTCGTGTAATCGTGAGTTTTATTTTTCATTTTATAATTTTGTAGAATGACGGCGTATTTTTCAAGCTTTTGCTGAATAGATTCTATGTTTTTTTCAATCAAGCAACTTTTCTCGTCTTTATTCTAAAACTGTTTCATGCCTTCTGTTCTAAAAATTTTAGTTCTTAAAATAAACCAATAGTAATTACTTGGAAGTAGTTTATGCTAATATTTTCGATGAGAAAAATTATATTTATTTGTATTATTTTAAAACATTAAACTGAAAGAATTTTTTTTTTAAATTCCTTATATATGATTTCCTATTTTAATAGTGGGAACAAATCAAAAGTAGGATTTTTGTATCATGACTTGTGCCACAAATAAGTGTCCAAGTTTAGGTGACAACCATGCAATATGGGGGGTGGATTAAAATAAAAACATTGCAGAAAGGGCCCAACTTGAAGGGTGTAATTCTAAATCACTCATGGGAAAACAGCAAAAAAAATTTTTTTGGAATTTTTGCAGGTTAAAAAGGAAATTTTTTTGGTGAAAGTAATTGAGGCAAACAGGTAGATACTGATAGGGAATTATCTCAAAATCAAGTTTTCAATTAACAGAAAAAGTTAAAGTAATTTTCCTTTTTTGAAAGCAAAAGATGCATCTATTGTGTATCTAAACAAACAAGAAATAATTGTATGTATAAAGCAAGCTTACAGCTTATTTAATAATTTTTACGGGGATATTTCCGTATCCTGATCTGTGTCTGATCCAACTACAATCGCTAAGGTGCCAAATAGATTTTAAACTTGCAAAATTTTTTTAAAGAAAACATGTAGATGTTTGCCCGGGGGTGGCTACGAGTTATACCTTTCATGTTGGTCCCTTTCTGTGATGTTTTTTTTTTTTAAATTTCTTGTGGGGCCACTTCTCGGAAATTTCCAAGACTTGGCAATTATTCTGCCACAGATCACGATACGGAAATCTCCCCATTTTTTAGCTGATTAATCGTATTTTTTCCTTCATTTTTAATTCCATTTAATTGGACTTTTGTTTATTAATTTAATAAAAAAAATTTTTTTTGTAAAGTAAATTTTTACTTTTGTAATTAATAAAATTTTTATTTACCTATGAATGCACTGTTCTATTGAACAGAAAACTTAACAAAAATGTGAATTTAAAAACTACAGGGCTACATTTCTGTATAATTTACCTCCCAAAAACTTGATGACAATCATGACTTAAGCGAAAATATAAGGACATGAAACTGAAAAAAATCATTAAGAGGTGGGGTTTAACTTATGTACGTAAGGTAGCTCCTTTGGGTATATTCCACATATTAAAAAAAAAAAAATTATGTATTTTTTATTGAAGTATTCGCCAAAGGTAGATTAGTGGAGTTGATAATTTGATGGTGGCAAATATTAGACTGGCTAAATACCTTTTTTTTTTATTACTTCTCTGATTTAGTTATATTATTTTGTTCTTAGCATTGTTTTCGTATTTAATAAGTGATTTTAATTTCTCATTTTAGGTAATTAAGCACAATGGGGGAGCCCAACTGGGATTTTAATGAGGTAAGTTCGAATCATTATTTTTAAAGATAATCATAAGTTTTTGTTACACAAAAGGCACTTGAATGATCTCAATTCCCAAAGTTGTAATGAAGGTCACATCTCAATCTGTCTTATTGAACCAAATTTATCAATCTATCTTCAACTTAAGATGACATATATATTTACTAATTTTTATGATAACTGCAAAATCTTAAAATATTGGATGCTTCTAATGGATATTTCAAGTTTTTAATTCTGTAGTTATAAATATTAATTTTTGTTAACATACAATTTTAAGTTAGGTAGTTGGCAAAGTCCTTTCATTTCTTTCTTTGAATAGCAATATACTTTATTTTGTCAAGATCTTTAGGGTTGTAATGAATAGTGATTGGCCGAATTTCGAATATCCAGCTGCCAAATAGCAACATTTTTTTTATAAAAAAAGAAGAAAAAAAACATTAATAAGTGTGATTTTTTTATGAATAAATAAGTTTAGTCATCATTAAAATTTATCAGAACTCAGCTGTATTACTGGTATGGGCAAAAGGGAAGAAAAACTATAGTTATCCTATAGAAATATTTAAGATAAATAAAAAACTAACAGCTATATATCAAAATAACTGTTGTTTTTAGTTAAAAAAGTGGAAAGGAGAAATTGTTTTAAAAAAAATCTTCTTAATAAAACAAAACTTAAATGCTAAAAATAATATTCCCTGAAAAAAATAGCCTATAAACGTTTTTAAATATGCCACTTTATCATAAAAGAACACTATATACAAAGGCAAAATAGATAAAATAAATATAGACCTTTATTCTTGAAAGAAAATTTTAGAGCTGAACATCTCAGTTTTCCAATTATTGTATTTTCAAAAAAAAAAGGTTTAATAGAAATCATCTGAGTCTTAATTAAAACGTCGATAAAACCCGGTTTTTTAAAAAAGAAAGAACTGGTTAAAAACCAAAACAAGTTTTTTCTTAATTTTTAAACAGAAGTTTTATGGCTAAAAATCTGACTTTAACTTTTTTACATTGCTTTTTAAAAAAAAAAAAAAAAAANTATTTTCTTTAAAAAAAAAAAAAAAAAAGTGATAATAAAGTTCAGTTAAAAGTTTCATGTCGGATTAAAATTGTAGATAAAGAGTAAAGTTAATTTAAAACACAAAAGAGAAAAAGACAGAAAAAATTGTTATTAGTTATTAAAATATAACCACTAAGTCAAAAATCGGAGTTTTTTTTTTTTTTTTTTTACATTACCAGATTTTTGTCTTAATCAAAACAAAAAAATTGAGGAAAAAAAGAATAACATTCTTAATTAATTGTTTCAAAACAATTGTTGAAAAAATAATGAAATTGACTTGCCTGAATACAAATTTAAAAAATCAACAGTACAAAATTCATGGTTCAGTATAAAGTAATTTCAATTTACCAAATTTCACTTTTCCATTTGTCATCTAAAATATAAATTTGCAAACCGTGTACAAGTTTTAGAACTTTCTAAATACATATAAAAACTATTTCTAATAATGTATAATAAAAATTTAATTCCATTTTAGATTATTCTTATTTAATGTATTAAAATTTCTACAAAAAAAACTGTGTCAAAAATACTCTTTTAAAAAATTCTTAGTGAAATATTCAATTGAATATTGGTCCACTCATTCGGCCGTTGTTATATTTAATAATTGGCCAGATACTGAATAGTGGCACATTTTATTCCTCCAAAAATGTTTGTTAAGAGCTTTCTTTCAAACATCCCAATGGTTTCCTTCTCATTTTCAGACACGGTTCATGTTTCTGTAGCATATGTGTGAACAGGTCTAATATGACTTTTGTAGATTAGAGCTGACAAATATCAATGTAAATTAAGGGTTTTTGTTCAAATTTTTATGTTCATTTACCTCATTAATGATAAAGTACAGGTGATAACAAATTACAACCAATACAAAATCCCACCAATACAAGAAATTCAATATTTTCTGAAAAAAGTAACTTTTGATACATTATGTCCTATAAAATATTGAAGTAGTTTGAATCTGCTGTTAAGGCTAACTAAAGCAAATTTTTGTGCTTTTCTTGAAATTCATATTCATCACTTAAAATCCCACATCGAGATTTATGTTCACATATCACAATTTATATTCATGTGATTTAAAAATCTCACATTGGATTTATATTTATAGGATTTCAAGATCCCACGTTGAGATTGGTATTTACTCAATTTAAAAATAAATTGTGCATCAATTTTTTTTTCATTAAAATGTAGATAATATTATAAGATTATATGCTTCCTACATACACTATTTTCTTGTTAAAATTTCATGTATTTATTTAATTATTTAAAATGTGTTTATCTTTTACATTTTTGGATATGTACTTTCTGCTTTTTTACAAAATTAATCCTAAAATAAAGTATGTTGTGTGGAGTGTACAGTGTACTACATTCAATTTTAAAAAACTGAACCGGTATAATTTGATGAATTCACAAAAAATGCTTTTAATCAATGTATAGCATTAACTAGGGTTTGTTTATTAAGTTTTCTAAATAATTTATTATGTTCTTAATTTTTGTATATGTGTAATATATAGTAAGTTTTGTGGGGTTAGCTTTAAGTTCCTTAAATGCGTAAAAAATATTTATAAAAATATACAAAGTACTACATAATTATTTATAGTAATTATAATGTGTATGATAGATTTCTTGTTATTTACAGTAATTATTGTAACATATTTCTTGTTTACAGGTCATAATAACATCCTCTGGAAATTTTGTTTCTGTTCTTGTTCCTAAAACTGGAAAAGTAATAAAAAATTATTCTATGAAAACTATAGCACCAAAATGTTTGGCTTTACTTGGAGAAGACTATTTTATTGGTGCATCAATCAACATACCTGATATTAAAATGTGGCCTGTTGGAGATGATGTAATAACTATTTTTTTTTTCCTTTCCAAATAAAATATGTTCTTGTAGTATAAATAATTCATGTATAAGTAATTAATCATGTTACATTTTTTTATTTATGATGTTATAAGTGAGCTGATATTTTGTAGCTGTGTGCCCCGTGGCAGAAACACGGCGACACAGCGACATTGTCGCAGAAAGCGACTGAGTTCTTGCAGAAAGATTTTTTTTATTTGGGAAATAAAAATTTTTGGTTTGCCACAAACAAAAGTTCTCAAAATAAATTCTGCAGAAACAGAAGCTGTTTTACCAACAAAAAAAATCATTTTCTTCAGAAACAAAAAAATTCTGCAGAAGCAATAATGGTTCTGCAAACTTTTTTTCTTACAGAATTGTTTTAAATATTTTTTTTTCTAGCGTACCGCGGAAGGAGAAAGCGCTCGTAATTCTCCGTTAATCTCCAACACAAACTGTTACTGGATAAAAAGGGGAGAATTTTTTTCCCCTTTATTAAGCTATTTTTGGAAATTTGCCAACTTCGGTCTCTATCGCTGGCGCAGTAATTTGCTTTGTGTTTTTTTATGAGAACAGAGCATTTTATACGCATGCGAAAAAAATCGCATCCAATGAATATGGCTCTAATACCGATGTTTCAGTACTGATAAAGACTATTTCGTTTCGAGATGTTGAATAGACTTGAGCATATTGAGTCGGAAACTGCTTCTGCATACTTCGTGTGGAATCAGTGCTATATATTTACACAATACAGTGCGAAATCACAAGCGCTGTGTATTTTTTTCGTTCTGAACTTAATCTGATCACGAAAAAAGTTTTATTTACCTCCTTTTTTTTAAAAAAAAAATTTTTCAATAAGTCAGTACAATATTAATCGAATCTAATTAATTAGATAAAATTAATTAGATGTAGAAAAAATTGAAACAAACATTGCTTTAATTTTTTTGCTTTTAGAATTCGGTTATAGTCAATACTATTTTATTATTTTGATTACTCAACTTCAATATTAATTTTTTCACCTGATTTGTTTCTGTACCTGATATAACTACTATAGTGAAACATTAAATCATACTGTTTTAAACTGATACTTCAAATTCAGTTATCTTGTTTTATAAATTTAATCTTTTTGTCCATTCTTAGCTATTTCTATAAGTTCTATCTTATTACAGGTTCTGGGTAATCTTTATTTATGCTCTAGTAAGCATTTTTGTCTGCAGATCTATACATTTATAACTTTTCGTTATTATCGAAGATTATGCAAATTTATACTTAAACAATTTAAACTTATTAAGAAATGTAAACTTATATTATGAAATTAAGAAAAAAAATACACAGTTTTATTCTATGCATGTAGACTTATTTTATAAACACGAATTTCATCTATTATTATAAATTCATTACACATACATTTATAACGATAAAAATATCTTGCAGAAAGATATTGGTTCTAATTAGGTTTGTCGCAGAAAGTCAGAAAAAATTCTGCCACAGGGGCTGTGTGTATGTTTCTTTCAAAGAATTTTTCAATTAGTTAAACCCAAATTTAAATTTATTTATTTCAGGGTGTATAGCATTTTTAAAAGGTGCTTAATTTTGACTTGCGTTTTTTAAAAGCCCTTAAAGATGCTTTTTATTATTCGGGGTTTGTAAAAAGTGCTTAATTTTCTATCTTAAAAAAAGAGATACTTTCTTTTCCCTATCGATTGTCATTCTAAATTTCGACAATTGCATAATTTTCTCTGCAATATTTATCAGATTATTAGATTGCAATGTTTATCTCTGCAATTATTATCATGATTAAGTAAAGTTTTTGAAAATGTTTTTGAATTTTATTGATTTTAGATTATAAATGAAGAACTTTAAACAATGGAGAAAAAAAAAATTATGCTGCACAAATCCTAATTATTATTATTTTTTTTTAAGTGATTAAAAATATTTGTGCTTAAAATGTACCTAAAACTTGCTTATTTTTTGTTGAAAAATCTGTCTACGCACTTTGTTTTTTTTTATCAAAAATATTCTATTTCTTGCTTGATATAACTAATAAATAAATAAATTATGAATATTATTTGCAATTTAATTTGAGCAAATATATTTCAGATAACTGTGTTCTTTTACCTGTGAAATTTTAGACATATTTTTTGAACTAACTGTTACAGTTTTTATTAATTCTCCTCAGCTAATTATTTTGTAAATAAATTTAAGTACATAATTTATTTATTTTATTGATGTAGTTATGACTTGTTTTGTAGCTAATCTTTTCTTATAAATAGTTTTTTTTTTATTAGTTTAACTAGATTTAATAGAATTTGTTATGAATTAAATCGACAGCAAACTTAAATTAAGTTGTTTTGTTACTTAAATACTTGAACAGTCTAATGTCAAATAGCTTTTAAAATCATATTGTCTAGAAATGACCACTTGACTTAAACCGCATGAAAATAATCCTTTGTTGTTGGAATGATTTGTAAATCCATGATGAGCGAATCATGGCCAAGATACACAAATGCTGACATGACTAATTTATACCTGTATTTCCCACCAATTTATGCAATTTAGTTTTCTCCAATTCTAATGTTAAGAAGATCAGTTACATTGTCTGCAACCCTCTGTATTTTCTGGTTTACTGGATAAAAATACCAGTAACTTTTTTTATTATGGTATTAAATTTTTATTGAACCGATTAAATTTTTGTGCAGAAAATTTTTTTGAAACCTGTGGCTATTGCCAAAATTAGAATTATAAAATGCAGCTGACTTTCTAAAATACTAACAGCTTATGGATAGATCATAAATTTTTTTACCGTATTTTTTCATGCTTGTTTAATTCAATTCTTATATTAAATTGTTAAGGATCTTTATTTTGAGTTATACCTAGAGTTTTTTTTTTCCTTTTAAAGTTCTATCTATAATTAATTTAACTTCATGATTTTGATTAAAAAGTTTAGCAATGTTTTTAAAGTAGCTAGCTGTAATTTTCCATAATAAATTGCTTTATTAAGGAGGGGAAGTAGCAGAACTTAACGCCTTGCCAGTGTCACCCGAATCCAGTTCGGTAACTACTACGTGCAGTATTTGTACCTACTTAACTGCCTTCGGGCAGGAGAAAAAATTAAAGTTTCTATTTTGTGAAGCAGAAGCTGAGTTCGTTTCTACTTTAGGATACTTAATTCACTATTTCCCTAATAGATGGCATTAGTGGTCCTAGTTTTTCACTGATTGCGACTTCAGTCGAGGGAGGGAAATGTGGGTGGGGGTTTTGGGATGTACCATACTGTAAAAGATTTGTAAAATTTATGTATTGAAAATCATATTATTGTGTATATTATACTAGTAATATTACTAGTAACATTATACTAGTAATCAAAATTTTGTTTAATTTGCTCTAATTGAAAGAGATGTGTGTGCAATCCATTACTTTTTTATTTTATTTTATTTTGAACATCAATTAATAATTCTTCTATATCTGCTCTATATGTGTGTGTATATTCCTGGAATATAATTATTTTCCACTTAAATTAGCAATTTTTTAAAAAATTAAATTGTGGTCATTTAAATTATGATGCCAAGTTTGTTAAAAATTGATTACAGTATTGCTCACTATTTCATTCTTTTTCTTCTTGTACAGAAATCTGTCTCTCTAATCAATAGCCCTTGTGGTTTAGTCACTGCTCTTACAGTATCCAATTGTGGAACTTACTGTGTTGCAGCCTTTAGACAAGAAATCCGTGTTTGGAATGTAAGTACAACTTTTTGTTTTCATTTATCTTTTTTTTATATTTATTTTAGTCTAATATCTTGTATGTTTCAAATAAAGGTTCAAACTGGTGAGATGCTAACTGCATTTACTCGTCACTATCAAGATGTAACTGTTCTTAAATTCACTAGCGATGACGCTGCTTTTATATCTGGAGGCAAAGATGGACATGTACAAACTTGGATATTATCAAAGTAACTCTTTTTTTTTTTCATTTAAAAGATACATTTTCTCTATTAATTTGCAGAATTTTGGGAATTTTGTTAGTGGAAATCTGTCTTTCTAGTTATCTTGCTTTTATTGGTTACAAATCATTGATTGTGATTCTTAAAGGCACTTCTATAGGGCTTCCCATTGGTGGTGGAGAACAGTTAAAATCTGGAATTGATGCAGAATTTTATTTGGACTCTAAAAAGCAAGAAATAGTCAGGGAATGTTGATTTTTTTTTTTTTTTTTTTTTTTTTTTTTTTTTTTTTTTTTTTTTTTTTNTTTTTTTTTTTTTTTTTTTGCAAAAACCTGGAAAATTCATGCATCATACCTGAAAAATAATGAGTCTTAGAGACGTTAGTAACAGCAATTAGTTGTTGATATTCAAGTCAAATAATTCTAGCATCTTTTACAATTATTTGTTATAAAAGTTCCACACTTTGGTGAAACTTTCCCTTGTTTCATTCTCTTTCAATGAAAATTTTTTGCTCGCAAAGTTTTAATATTTCATTTTACAAATAAAATAAAAGTTTTCTGGTGAAAAATTTCATGGTATTGATAAAATACGGTCTAGATTTTACAATAAAATTTTTCTGAAAGTCAGGATATTTTTTTTTTTTTTTTTTTTTTTTTTTTTTTTTTTTTTTTTTATTTTTTTTTTTTTTTTTTTTTGAAATTAAGTGGGAAGCTTGTTCTAGTCATTTAGAAGTCACATTTTGCATTCTGTGGAAATGATGGTTGCAACTCACACCTCTGTTACTAATTATGCAATTTGTGAATCGTATGTGATTCATGTTATGGCAATTCATGGGTAAGTCTTTACAAGTGAACGTGGCTCATGAATCAGTTATGGTGATATGTTTTAACAGGATTTTTGAAAGTAAAATATTGTACAATCAAACCTCCACTCAGTGTTCCTTTATTTTCCCATATGTATCGACTTGTTTTAACTGTCCTGTTACGAATGCTGTTCTTATAATGTTAATAATATCTGTTTAAATCATTTTTTAAACTATCAGATGCCCATGTCTATTGTTCAGAAATTCTAAGAAATTTTCTTATTAAAAAAAATATTTTGTTTTAAGATGCTAATGATAAAGAAGAAAATGAGGAATCGTTACAATGTGAAGAATGCAGCTTGAACATTGTGTTAAATATATTACATGCATCTATTAGTGAAAATGTTGAATACTGTAGTGTTAATTTAGAAAGGTTGTGGAAGCTAAAGAACTACAAAGTGATAAACTATGAAAACGGTAGAACAGAACCACAACAAGGGCCAATTTTCGCGAAAAGTCTCAAAGCTTTTGATATAAAAAAGGGTTTTTGACTTCACTCAAATTTGCAAATAATGAACAGCAATCTACTGCAAATGTCATGAATTTATTGTTTATGCGTAAAGGTAGTAGTGAGTGTTCAAATTGAAAATTCTAAATATTTTATAAATAATTATGTTGATTCATCTTCTTTTTAAATTGTAAATAATTACATATTTTATTAATTATTGTAAATTTTTTATTAAAAAATCCCTTACTTCTTTAATACTTTTCATACATTTTCAAATTATTATTTTATGGTGGCTCACAATTGTCATTTTCCGGTATCCATTGTTCGCAATGAATGATCCCTTGAGATTTTACTCTGTATGTTATTTCGATTTAAAAAATTTATTTAGGAGAACTGTTTATTTAAATCCATTTTATTTACAAGTAAAATTTCAAGTTTTCTGTCCAATAATGTCAATACTTGGAAAACAGACTTTTTTAGACTGAGTTAAATGAATACTTCTTTTATAGTTAACCCAATATAGTAGTTATATAAACTTAAAATTCTGTCCGTGCCCTTATTGGTGAGATTGTGGAGCGCTAAGCTTAGCTTCCCAGCATTCTTTTCATTCAATAAAAAAATTTTTAAATAATTACAGTCCACCTTGCTCTTTTAGCTCTGACAAATTCTTCAAAAAATGTTATTCAAATTAAACCACCTTTCAAATTTCGCAATGTAGATCTGTATTTAAAACTTATTATTTTTGAACTATATTTATTTCAATCAAAATTCAAACTTTAGTCTTCATTTTTAACAGTATTATACAATAAATGTTAATAGAAGAAATAAAACTATACCTATTTTTACATTTATTTGTCATGTTAGTTCAATCCTCATTGTGTTGTTTCCATGATTAACATTATTCTATTTTTTATGTTTCAGATTTTATTCATTTTTTCTTGTCATAATTAATGATGGTTATTTTAATGATTTTTAATGTATTTATGCTATTGATTTTTACAATATTTTATTTTTAGGGTTACATGTGCTAATTTAGATAACCCTAATAGAGTAAAACCCTTACATTCTTGGAGAAATCATACGAAAGAAATAACAGATATATTTGTTGGCTCTCTTGGCATGTACTCTCGTATTGCTACAACATCTGCTGACATGACTTGCAGAGTAAGTATCATTTTATTTTATTTTTAATTTTTAGCTTTTCTGAAGAAAAAAAAGTAAGAATTTCTGACAAAAATTCACATTTATCTGCCGTACAATTCACCTTGAAATCCTGAAAAATTTGTTTATTTTATCCTTACATTTGAGTACTATAGCAATGAATTTTTTCAGTGTGAAGGTCACATTGTTATGACGAAATTAAGCATTTGATAGAAGAGTGTGGTTTTATTTAAATGTGAAATATTTCTTAGAAATTGGTTAATAGACATGGGCAAAAAACCATGTCTTAGAAATATGTGAGTTTCAATCAAAAAAATTTATATTTATTAAATGATATGTGTAAGTATATCTTTTGATGTGCACACTTTGTGTGTTCACTTAGTAAAAAAGTGGAAAGATGGAAAAAGTGCACACTATCTTAGAAAATCAGGAGCCTCGAGAAAAACAACACAAAGTCAAGACATAATAACTCGAATTGAGTAGATTGATAACTCAAACATGAGCGCTGATGAAATATGCAAAGAGATGTCTAACATGGATTCATAGTATTATCACCCAGGCAAAGAATAAAATAATAAAAAAGCGGAATGGAATAAAATAATAAAAGATTAGTAAAATTGTGTCAAGTTGATGTACTGCTAAAAAGATCAAAACTTTGAGCTGGACTAGTCCATCCCATGATCTGAATCCAATAAAACAACTTTTGGTAATTCGTCAGAAAAATCTCAAAGCATTCTTCAAAGGCGAAACTCTTTCAGGATCTTAGTCAGAATGGGCGAAATTCCACAGTCCTCACTAAACGTCCTTGTTAATTCCAAGCCCTGATAATATACCACAGTCATCAAAGATAATGGAAATATTATGAAGTATTAGAAATTTACTACATTACCTTAAGCTGATTAATTTCAATAAAAGTTTACAAAAACTGAATCATCTCAAAGCTACTTTTATTAAGGTTTTGTAATTTTTTGATGTTTTTTAAAAAAAAAAATTGATTTAAATCAGATTTTATTTAATATTCAAATACACTGTGAAAACTTTAATTTATGTTTAAAATGACAATAAACTTTAATTTTTGGTTTAATCAAAATTAAATTAATATTAAAACTATATTATAACAATATTTTAGAAGCTCTAACTTACTAAAATAATTTTTCATTATAATACATAGCTTTGAATGCATAGCAACCATTTTGAAACAAATGCATGATTGAAATATAAAAACTAAATGAAATAGAGAATTTAAAGAATACTTCAGGGGTCTGTCTAGGTTTTACTGAGAGGTACCTATTTTCTGAAAATGTAGACATAATTTGTGAAAATTAAAAATTATATTAAAAAATCAACACAAATATGGTAAAAATATGGATTCATCGTTTCTTACGAGACACAAAAATAAAATTTTAAGAAAAAAGTATTTTAAGTAAATTATTCTACCGTTTTTCCCAAGAATTTGTGAAGGTACCACTAAACGGTAGTAAATTTGGCTTGGCCATACCCCTGCACTTTACTTTAACTATATTCAAACAAAGCTTCAATTAGCAAACCATAATTTTAATTTAAAATTGTGATTTCTTTTTTTTTTCTCTTGATTTTTAAAATGACAGAATAAATGTAACAGATTGTGTTTGTAAATGTAGTCATTCATCAAAAAATGAATAAATATTTAATCTGTATATATTTATATTGAAATATTCATTTTTAATTCTATGTCAAAATAGATAAGTTAAGCTTAAAAAAAAATATTTAAATAGGCTATGTACTAATTGGAATTTCTTTTTCACATAATTTCTTTATTGAAAATCAGCTAATGTCAAAGATACTGTAAACATATTATAAGAAAAAAATACCAGTAAATAACCCTACTGCTTCAAATAGACTTTGAAATGGAAGAAGGACACTATATCAGGAAGAAAAAAAATATCTGAATTCATCAGCTTATTTTTTTTTCTTTCTATTTTTTGCATATTAGGGTAATTTCCTTTTAATATAACCTCAAGCTTCAGAAATATACATTTTCCACCCATAAAATATAATGTAGATATTAAGTCCACGCTTTTTCATTCAAAACATAGAATTTTAATTAGCATTATTTGCATTATTTTTTGAAAACAATTCATGTTTATTAATTACTTTCTACAGCTGTGCAAGTCTATATTAAGATATTATTATATTATATATATTCTTTCAATCTCAAGAATCAAAAGATTTTTAAAAACGTAATTTCAAATGTGTTGTAATTTAACACACACCAAGAAAGATAATTTTGTTAACTAAAATTAATTAATGCATCAATTTATTTAAAATAAATTTTAAAACTAAGATAAGAAAATAATAAAAGTATTAATAATTTAAAACATTATTTTTTGACTTTTAAAATCAAAATATATTAAAAGAAATTTGTTGATTTAAATAACCCTGCTTTTATTAGATTTAAACTTTTCAAATTCTCGGTTGGTGTTTGTTAAATTTAAAAAATTTAAGTATATTATTACTTACTCCCTATGTAGTATGACTAAAACTATTTAACCTACAGGTAAAGTTAGAACAGAAAAACACATAATGTCTCAAAACTTTGGTTCCCTTTCATATATGAATTTTTAATATCTATAATAATTTTTTTTACTTTTTAAAACAAAAGATGAAATCATAATTGGTATTTTTTATCAATCACATTTTTTTCGCCAAATTAACTATTTGTATGCATATCAGGTTTGTATCCTTGATGTTGATGCTGATTCAAAATAGCATTGTCAAACTTGCAAACATCCTTTACAGTTGAATAGTTGTAACATAATTAAAATAAAGTAATTTTTTACAAATCTTTGAAGCTATTATATTTTATTTCAGCTCTATGAATTAAATTCTGGGTTATTGCTAACATCAGTGTGCTTGGATATTCCAATTACTTCTGTCACAATCGACTCTTTGGAATATTATTTGATACTTGGAACACAAAAAGGAACTATAAGTAAAATAAATTTGTACTATGAGGTAAGTTTAATTTTTATTCAAGACATTATTGCAATGGAAAATTTAATAAATGGATTCTATAATTAATTAACTTTGAGTTATGCTATTATAAATTAACCAAATCAATCAGTAAGTTATTATTTAAAGAATATCATTAATAATTTAAATAAAAATGTGAGAATTTAAATAAAAATCAAATAAATTTTAAAGATATGCATGTTAGCATAAACAGTACTGCATCAGGGGGTACACTGCCATGATAAATTGCCGGAGCCTTTCTGTAGTCAGTGGTTAATCCAAAAACAGACAGTGGCCTGAACCCCCGTAATGGAAAACAAAATAAGAGTATAATTTAATACCTGAAAATGAAAAAGAATATCCAGAGAAACACAATTTAAAACAAAAATAACTTAAGTAAAAAATACACTGAGAATAATGTGTCTACATATAGAATATATAAAAAAAAAGAAAGTTACAATTTACGTAACCAAAAAGTATTATTTGCCAGATCCTTAAAACAATTAAGTGAAATTATGATATTCCAGTGCTGTCCTCTTTAGAAAAATGTGAAAACGGGCCAAACTCCCGAATCAAATATTTTAATTAAGTACCGTCGTCTATATTCATTGGGAACAAAAAATCCCAATCTTGATTGATCTACTTATGCAGGCTTAAATATTGACCAAATTATATAGTCTATTCAATATTGAGTCAATCTTGATATTTATTAAATTAAGTTCTTTAGGATAAATATCTTTAATTAAATCAAAATTAGTACAATAAAAGATGGTGAAATCATCAATAAATCTAAACCCTATTAATAAATTACGTTGTAAAAATTTTTGTTCATAAATATCTTAGAAATATATTAGCAAAAGCACTGAAGAAACAATTTCTCATCGAATTACCTTGAATCTGTTAGTAAAAACACATACCACAGTGTTTTCATTGCAGGAAAAAAAATGGGAGAGAATTTCTCACCCTTTCTCAAAAACAGGGTGAGATTTCAAAAAGTTAAGTGAGATTTCTAAAAATTAAAAAAACACGAATAGACTTGGAAAAAAAATATTTCTATTTTTTCTATTCTAAGTTTAGAAGTCAGAAGATGTTAAAAATTTATTATAATATTTTTAAATAATTATAATACATTTTTAACATCTTCTGACTTCTAAACCATTGAACATTGAATATTTTTGCTGCATTATCATATGGAAAATGTTCTGTATCTACTTTTTCATTAGCTATTCTCATTAGGTTTGCTCAAATGCTTACCAATCGATCTGTTACGATATTTTGTTTTAATTCGGCTTGGGGGGCTAAATAACCTTGCAATAGATGCTGAACTATTCGGAATCACTAATTAAATTTGTAGCATTGTGCACACACTTTCCTATCCTCTACATCTGCCAGCATAGGTTCTTCACTTATTTCTGTTATGGAATAGTGAAGTTCGTTGAAGTTATTTCCATGTTCATACTCTTTGTCAGGTCTTCCAGATTAGTTTTCACAGACTTAAACTTTTACAAATTGCTCTAAATTGTCGATGAGGGAGTTTGGTAATTCATTAACAGCGAAAACTAGAGATAACTTTAAACAACTTATAAAGAACTCACTTTTTTTCTCAACACTTGTCGTAGCTGTTTTCATGTCTTTTTCAAAATGGCGGAAGACTAAATTTTTTCCAAAATTCAAGAAATTCGTGCATTTTAAAATTGATAAATTCAGTGCGCGAACTTCTCGCGTTAATCATTTTTTAATGCGAGAAAATAAAAAAATATGCGAGATTCTCGCGCTGTAGTGAAAACACTGTACCATAAAAAAGATAATTTTCAAATATGATTAAATTAGATAATTTTCAAATATAATTACATTACATTAATTATACCAATCCTCTCTAATATTATCCTCATTAATCAAATCTGTATCAGTAGTCTTGAAACCAATATTTTTTAAATTATTGTGTGGTATACTTGTTAATAAATTTTCAAAATCACATCTAAGAATACTATTCATTTTGTTGTTATTCAAATACAGTACAGAACCCGTTATCCGGAAATCAGAAAACCGGAAAACCAAAAAACCGGAACGAAATTCGATACATTTTCCGACCATTTTTTTAAAAAAATGTGTTTTTCCTCATAAGATTTTAGGATTTTTCTTTCTTTTTTGAAAGATTTTTACCTTACCATCATTTTGGAAATAATCATTAGTGTATTACTTGATCGTTTTTTCTTCTTTTTAAGATTATTTCCAAATATATTTTTTTTAGTTGGGTTTAACAATAAAAAAACGGCTTTTTGTAGCGATTCAGAAAACCGGAAAAATCAGTTATCCGGAATAGCGATGGTCCCGATCGTTCCGGATAATCGGTTCCCTACTGTACTTAATAACGTCTTGGCTGTTATTTATTATAAAATGATGTTTACATTTTTAAAAAACATTTTTCTGAAAACAGATTTATTACATCCACTACTACAAGTTGCAAATCTAAATTTAACTGGCATTTTGTGAAATTTAATTGTTAGAAATAAATAGCAATAATTAATACAATAGATTTTTAAACAAATTTTTTGAGGCAAAAGCTGAAATTAGAATTATTAATTTTGACCAAAGTATTATTGTTTTCTCATTCTTTATTCATTAAGTGCTTAAAAAATGTTTGCAAATAAAGCAAAAATTATTATACGCTTTGTCAACAAAACAAATAATAAAATTATATTTCAATAATTTAATATATTTAATAATATTAGAATTCAAATTGAAACTCCATTCACTAAATCCCTTAGCAGGCCAATTAACTTTTCTTGAACATTTTGCAATAAAACAATCCAAATCTTTACTAATCAAAGCTGGAATAAAAAAATAAAAAAAAAATTTTCTTTGTCTAAACTAAGTCCCATGTTCCATGATAAAACTAAATTTTTCATTTCTGATTAAGTGATGATTAACTGTAACAATGTGTTTATGCACTAACCTTTAATAATGAAAGAGGCACTTTTAGTTTGTGGCATTTTTTTTTTTTAAATTTCTTAAGAAATACTTAAATGATTAGGTTGTAACTTTAGAGGAGGATTTTCCTTACTTAGCATTAAAGGTTAAAGCTTCCAAAGGTTTGAGGGACCAACAATAAATTATGAAAGAAAACAAATATTTTTGAACACTGTGCCAGAAAAATCAAACAGTTTGTAACTTGTATTGATTACTTTGGTTGTAAACTTCACTTAAATGCTTATAGAAATATAGACATTTTTATAAAAAAATAAAAAAAAAATAGTTTTTTTCTCTTACATTTTTTTACAATGACTTTAAAAATATTTTTGAAATTAAACAAAATATTTGGAGCAATATTTTCTATATAAAAAAATATTAATTACAAAATATTTTATTTAAATATGAAAAGAATTCTTTAAAAATTGCGTAAGATTTGAATATTTAAAATAGTTCTTTAGCACTGTGCAAAAAATTTTAAAAAAATTTCTCCATAATTTTGTATTGAATCGTATTTGGCAACTAGCCAAAAAAGCCTGATTTGAATATCTTAAAATTTTATATATATATATATATATATAAAACTATTCAGAATGACAGAACTGATACTGAAAACAGATACTGCTTTCTTCCTATTTATAGAAAATTATGTGAATACTGATTCCCAATTTATTGCATCACTAATTAATAGTTTGGAATACATATTTATTTGTTTTATTTTATTCAGGGATATATTTTTTGTTAAACTTAGTTTCCAAGTTCTAATTCTTAAGGTTTACTCTATTTTTTTAAAAAGTGTATGTTTTTTTAGTATATTTTGAAAAGTTTAATCAAGTGTACGAACTGAATAGAGATTTAATGGTTAAAATTTGTTAACTGAATTCCATGAAATACATTTCAATAAACAAAATGTTTTTCAAAATAGTAAATTTGACTTCATAATTAATATATCTGTGTTCATATAATTCTCAATAGGTTAACATAATGTGATTCCAGGATAATCTTTATATCAGTATTAATAAAAGTATGTGCCCTCAAATTGTGTTATAAAATTAAAAATAGTCTTAAATCTAAGTGCTAAAATTTAAAGCTAATATAACTTCTTCTGCACTTTTATAGCAACCTAGAGAAATTCACAATAATCCTATGGATAAAGAGGAAATAAATGCTCATGGGTAAGTAATTTAATTTTAAATTGTGATTTCATTTTACATTTTTTGACACAAATAATAAAAATAGTTTATCTTCACAGTGTTATTTTTGTTTTTTTAAACCAAGAATTTTATTAACTGTTTTAATTTACAGGGATAATTAAAATGGTGCTACTATTTGAACTATACTGCAAATTACAATTTGGAATTTTAAAAATAGGCTGAATAAATTTTAAAAAAGAAATTATAATTAATGCATAGCTTCTAGTTTTATTGGATTTTGCCAGTTTCTTCTTATTTATTCAAAAAGTGTCTTAATGTTTGTGTATTTTTAAAACGTTTTTGAAGTTGGTAATGTTACGATTAAAAAAAAAAAAAAAAAAAAGATCTCTCAAAATAGTGTTTTTATTTAGTATGTTGCTTGCCTAACTATTTAAATAAGTAAAATTGCAAAAAAATGAAGTAAAATTCATTCTCAGTTTGAAGCTTTTCTCTTTTTAAATATTCAGAAATTTTCAGTTTTTTTTAGATTTTTTATTCCATACTTAGTTTTTAATTTTGAAATAATGCTTTAGCTACCTAAAATAATTTAATCTTCATTAAAAGTTTGATATAAAATAAGCATAATAAAACAATTTTGAATTCAAGATCATGTAATGTCATCAATCATTAATGGAAAATATTACTGTTGAAAATTATAGTTTTCAGTCTTAATATAGTTTTTGTATTTTATTGACTTTAAAAGTTCCTTAAATTCCCCATGTCTAAAATATTTAGACATAGCCACAATAACACGAAATTTATATTATTTGAAAGATCATTTTTTTAAAAAAAATTTGGAACTAAGTAATGTTGTTGGTGCAAATAAAGCACATTGTTTCCTTGCTGTTGTAGCTAAACTTAGCAATCCTCATTTTAGTAATTTTATCAAACCTATCTCTGCAATTGATTTTTTTTTTAAATGTGAAATGAAAGTTTATGCTTAATGTGAAAAACATTTTTAAATAAATATTTTTTTCTCTCTCTAGGAATGCAGTGATTTCTTTATCAATGTCTATTGTTGGAGATAAGTTTGTATCAATATCTTTAGATTCTAAATTGAAACTGTGGGATGTTGCCACTCTTACATGCATTTTATCTATTCCTTGTTCTGATGGTATGCATAATTTTTCATTTTAAGCTTTTATATCTTGATTCATTATTTATATATGCATGCACAAGTGAAATGCAAGAACCTGAAATGCACAAGATCTTTAAAATAAACCAACCAGAAATTTTATTAGACAATGACAACAACAAATGTAAATAAGATATATTTTGAGCTTTTTAATAACATCCATTTTAAATGAAAACAATAATTTTGTTCTTTTTTTTAGCATTTTTATTTTGGTTTTTAAGATTTGAACAAGAAAATTTGTAGTTATAAATAATTTGTCTATTAACTTTTAAAGTCTATATGATAGGACAGAGAATACTGGAACACTTACCCACAGCATCGATACATGAATGAGTTATTGTGAGGCAGTGAAAAGCAAAAAAAAAGGATGAATTATAGTAAAGATGAAGTGGGTTTTGTAGTTGTTTTGTAATATGCCTAAATATAATTCTAATATACGCATGCTCTCCTAGGAAACATTCAACACAGTGGTGCAGCTTTAAAGGTGTGTTCGGAGGGGGTTTATTCCCTTGTGACATATATATATAAGTTCTATTAATGTTATTTTTAAAAACTACATCCTGCGTACCATACAATAGCTCTTAAATCAAGTTATGTATAATTTCGAAGGGTTTTTTGTCGCCCAAGCCCTCCCCAAAACTTACCTACTAATTCAACAAAGAAACAGTAGCCGATGCAACACAATGATTGAACAATTTTATTAAACATGTTGTGACATCACATAATTTTTTTCATTGTGATCTACAAAACGGGCAAACAACAGTCTCTTAATTGGTTGAGAACTTTACTGACATCAGTTGCGAGCCCTGTGTATAAAATTCTGAAAATAAAAAAACTTGAAAAAGTCTCAATTATTTCACATAAACTGACATGATCATTATGGTTCATTCAATTCCTCTCATGTTGTATCTTGCATGTTATGTATGCAAATTTTAAGTGTTTATAAATCAGTATTAAAAAGGAGCAGTTCTGATATTTTTTCTTAAAATAACTCTAGGTGCTTTTTATAATCACTCTAATTTTCAGCTATTTTCATAAGTTTGAATTTTTTTTAAAAATTTATTTAATTAGGTTTGTAAGAAAAATGTTACTTATGTAACATATTGGATAACCTGCTTAGCAATCAGTTTTTAATTTTCAAGTTTATGAAAGTTGCCTAAAATTAGAATAAGTGTAAATTGTACATAAAGTTACTTTAACAAAAATTATTTTAACTGTGCTGTGTATTTCAACTTTGCTATATGCATTTAAAGTCTGCTTTTGTCTTTCATAATTGGTGGAATCGCCCTATGATGGAAAGCATTTATTAAAACACTGATGAAATGATACAATAAAATTGTCACTGTTCGTAATTTCTCCTGCAACTGGCATAAAAATTAAACTGATTTGAAAAAACTCTTAAATTTTGATGAGATAAAAAGTTTGAAATTTTTTTAAAAAGTGAAATGGTTATAAGAAACTATAAGTTCAGATCTGCTTTGAAGAGGGAAGCAACAAATAGTTCAAGGAATTAGATAGGAAAAGTGGCAATGGATTAGGAATGAAAGGTTGTAAAAATATAAAGTAAAACAGGCATTTGTTTGAAATTTATAAGGAAAGTGAAATAAAAGAACAGTAGCGATTAAAAGGCTGCTAACAAATCAGGAAATTTGGTGAAACTGTTATCGACCCTTTATAGTGTAAAGTTGGAGAATAATGCTCCAAGCTCCAGTGATGATCTAACTTAATATATCCTGCATCTCTGTGTTTTGACAAGTTCTTCATTATAGTATTATAATTATTGTAGGATGTTTTAACTTTAAACAGCACAAAGCTAATTTTTCCTTTGTTGGAAATCTTTTATCTTGTATTACCTTACGTTTTAACTTCTAAGTATTTTCTAATAATATTATTTTAGGTCATTATCGCAATGCCTTTTTCACACTTTATCCAGCACCATTACTTACTGATGAAGAACCTTATATTGTTGTCAAACAGTTAGAAAGAATCTATCCAAATGATCGAGCAAAGTTGGAAAAAGACTATTCCGTTCTTTTCAGACCACAAGATAAAGAACTTTCAATGGTAAGCACCATTTTGTTTGTCGTTGTACAAAGCATGTGTTAAATATTGCGATAAACTCATAAGTATTGCCTGTACAAAATTTTAATGAATGAAAATGAAGTATAAAAACCTGTACAGTAGGAGTGTTAATAAATAAATTGTTCCCTTTATTTTTTAAACAAAGAATAAGTTAATTTTATTAAAGAATTTAAGGCTACCTGTTAATTCTGATTTTCATTTTCTTCCAATTTTTGGAAAAGATCATCTAAATTTATTTTTAAATACACTAAAGTGTACGGTGCTCCAAAAAAAAATTAAAAAAAAGCAAACCACCCTGAATAACTTTTGATCTAATGATCAGATCTTCACATTTTAGGACTTAATGCTTTAAGAGGGTGACCTCAAATATATTAATTAATTAGTACAGAAGATATTTTAAGTTATGGAATCGGATGCAAAATCATACTTTGAATAAGCATACCTTTTGTGTAACGGATTTAGATTTGTGACGACCCTAAAATATAAAGAGCAACCATAATCCATGAAATATGGTCCCCATAGTTTGGTCAGGAGAACAATTCAAAGTTTGCACCCCTTAATGTTAGTTTTACTTTTTGCTTATTTCGCCATGTCTTGAGAACTTTTTAAGCGAATTTAAAAAATTTTGCCCTCGGCTATAAAATTCGTTTATCCAAAGATAATTCCTTGCAAAAAATAGATTTTAAGAAATATTTATTATTTTAATATATAATAGTCAGAAAAAATTTTAATTCTAATGACAGGGTTCCCACGGTCCTTGAGAGTCCTTGAAAGTCCTTGAATTTTTTTGTTGCTAAATTTAGGTCCTTGAAAGTGCTTGAAAAACGTCTTAGGTCCATGAAAAACTTGATAGGTCCTTGAATTTGTCCAATACTGCCAGCAGCCCTTTTTATAAAACACCCGCGGATCTTTCTCGTTCTTTCTGTTTTGTTCCCGAGCTCTCTCACGTGGTTTTTAACGCCACCGTTTCTAACCGGGCCTAGCGTCTTGGTGTCTGCCAAGCGCGCGGAGCACAGCAGACAATCAATGCGTTCGGGGCGAGACTCCACTTCATCTTCTGTCGCATATGCTTAG